TTATAAATATATATAAATAATGGCAAAACATCATCCGGATTTGATTATGTGTCGTAAATAACCAGGTATTGCAATTGGTAGATTATGTGAGAAATGTGATGGTAAATGTGTGATATGTGATTCATATGTCAGACCTAGTGTTTTAGTTAAAATCTGTGATGAGTGCAATTATGGAAGTTTTTAAGGTAGATGTGTGATTTGTGGTGGAGTTGGTGTTAGTGGTATTCTCTTATTTATAATCTTAGATGCATATTATTGTAGAGAATGTGTTCAATAAGAAAAAGATAGAGATGGATGTCCCAAAATTGTCAATTTAGGATCTGCTAAAACAGATTTGTTTTATGAAAGAAAGAAATATGGATTTAAAAAAAGATGATTATTAATAATATATTATAAATATGGTGCATATTCCTCATTTGATTGTTGGAGCTGGACCGTAATACATTATAAACTTTTTAGAGTTGGTCTCATTTTGGGTCATTATTTTAAGAGATTTAATATCCCTTTTCAAATATTCGAAAAGCAATCCTATCTATCTGCACATCCTTCAGCTCATTACTTAAATATGAGAACAATGGAAGTAACATATATCAACTTACCATTAGATTCTTGATGAATTAAATATCCAATTACCATTAGAAAATATCCAGCATTTTTAGAATTATGTATATTTGCGTAGAATTGGAGAAACCCCTCTTAATATTACAAGTTAATTAATAGATTATAAATAATATTCTTATGCAAGTTATGCTCATTTACCTTAAAGTCTCTTTGTTTAACATGTTTAAGAGGGAATAAGAGATAAAATTTAATTAAACAAAGAAATAAAGAAAATCGAATTTAAGGATAAAATTATCAAAGTTAATGATGATATCACATGTGATTATCTTTATGGTTGTGATGGATTGAATGGATTTGTTAGAGATTATCTAAAAATAAAATTAATAGGTAATCGAGATCTATAAAGATTTCTAAATATTCATTTTACTTCTAAATAACTAATAAATAGATTGGAATAATACAATTCAATGTTATCATTCATATATAATAGTGATATAACAGCAGTTATAATAAAACATAGGATAGAAGATGGCACATTTGCAATATAGATACCATTAGATTTATTAACTGGTAAAACAGATATTTAAGAAATTTAGCATATAAGAAAGGATCATGTATTAATAAAAAATTTAATAAACAAAACATTATTAAATTAGATAAATGATATAGAGATAAAATCAGTAGGATTTTGGAGAATGGGTGCTGTATATGCTGAATAATATTATAAAAACAATTGCATTCTTGTTGGTGATGCATGTCATGGAATGCCTCCTGCTGGTGGATTTGGAATGAATACAGGAATATAAGATGCATAAAATTTAGCATACAAAATTAAAGAATAGAAAGATCTATTACATTATTAATAAGAAAGATAATAAATTGCACAAGATAATATAGGAACTGCTTTAAAATTCTATAAGAAGTCTCTTGATATTGCCAAATCATTTACATTTGATATTGATAAACTTAAATTGTATTAAAGTTTAATGAAATATACACCTGATTTTGTTTATTAGGCTGGTGTTAAATTAGGAGGATCACTTATTGAATTAGATCCCGTATATAAAAGATTATAAGTGAATGATTATATTCCTTTGGTATTCCCTAAAGAGGAAATAGGATTTAAATACAATTAAGGTGATATAGGAGAAAATGGCGGTTAATTGGCGCCTTTAGTTGTAAGAGAGATCTTAAGAAAGATGGACAGAAAATGGTATAGCATTAATTGTGATTCTAATCATTAAAGAATTGATATTTAGAATGTTAATTAGATGATTGTGAGAAGTGATATGCATATTTATTAATAATAATAATAATAATGATTATTCCTACAGAAATTGATCCAGAAACATTACCTGATCATGAACCAGATAGATTTAATAATTTCTTTGAAATTGTGTTGGATGGAAGACCTGCATTTTAATTATTAGATGGATCTGCCTTCTTTTTGGATTCTAACAATGGGTATACAAATCTCATTCTATCATAAGTTGGATTGATGAAAAGAATTGTTATTATGATAGTGAAGGACAGCCTGCAGGATGGTATAAAACATTTGATGGTCGAACTTATTTTTATAATATTGAAGGATTTTTTATTCCTTATGACAAAGATCCATCTACTTTACCAAAACACAATGAAAAAATTAATATTAATAAATTGGATTCAGATTAAAACTTTCTAGATTCAAATGGGTGTTATTATGATAAATATGGAGAGCCTTTGGGATGGAAATTGAAATGCGAAGATGGTCAAGTATTTATATCTTTTAGCTAATAGTTATACTTTTTTGATTTAAAAGGAGAGTATTTAGATATTAGTCCAGGAGAAGATTAAAATGATCTAAATGAATTCGATTTGGATGATTTTAAATAAGATTTTAAATAGAAGACTTAATTTGTTAAATAATCATAAAAACCCCATCCAAAAGCAGAACCTCTAGGAATGAAAGTTTAAAAATAAAAGTAAAATCAACCCCAATAATAAGTAAAGACTTAACAAATACCTAAACCATAGTAATAATAATAATAATAATAATAATAATAATAACAATAATAATAATAATAATAACAATAATAATAATAATAATAATAATAATAATAATAATAATAATAATAATATAGATAAAATAATTAAAAAGCAGTTTATCACTATGAACTTCCAGATTTGGATGAAACAAAGAAATTATTTGTTGCTTTAGTGAAGTCAAAATTATAAAGCAAACCTGAATTTCTTTTAAATAATTAGTTACTTACTGTGAAATGTGATGAACCAAACAAAGGTCTGGAATAAGATTTTAAATTAGAGAATGGAAAATGTGTTACATATAAAAAATGATGTTATTATTATTAAAAATATCAAGAAATGATATATATTTTTGAAATGAAGAAAAATAAATTTATTTATAGACTATATAATTGGATTATAAATCTCAATTTAAGTTTTCTATGATAATTGATGTAGCACCTCCACCACCATTACAGATTCCAGCTAATCCAAATTTGCCTTGATTTTATTTAAGAACAGTGAGTAAGGATAGAATGATTCTAGCACCACTCATACCAATAGGATGACCTAAAGCAACAGCACCACCATTAACATTGACTCTTTCTAATGGTAAATCTAATAATTTCATATTAGCTAAAACAGTAGCAGCAAATGCTTCATTAATTTCATGATAATCAATATTTGCTAATTTAAGTCTAAGATAATATAATGATAATAAAAGTACCCAGCTCTTGATAATGCTTTTGCAGATGATTTAGCAGGTGCAATACAGAAATCCATAGGATCAAGTTCTGAATCAGCATAAGCAACAATTCTAGCAAGAGGTGTTAATTTATATTTTTTTAATGCTTCTTCAGATGCTAATATGATAGCACATGCACCATCATTAATTTTACTTGAATTAGCAGCAGTAACACTTCCATTTTTAGCAAATACTGGTTTAAGAAGTGGTATTTTTTCTTTTTAATATCTTTTAACTTCTTCATCTTCAGTGACAACCTCTTTATCTGAAACTTAAACAGGTGTAATTTCATGTGTCCATCTACCTGTTTTAATAGATTCAAGTGCTCTTTCATAACTAGTAATAGTAAAATCATCTTATAATTATCTTGTTAATTTAAGATCATTAACTGTCTTCTCTGCACAAACACCCATTGCAACATTACTATAAGCATCAGATAAACCATCTGTAGCTAATCCATCTAATAATTTGCCATCTCCATATTTCAATGGTTGTCTTGCATTAATATAATGAGGAATGTTAGACATGGATTCAAATCCTCCTGTTAATACTATATTAGATAATCCTAATTAAATGCTTTATGCACCAAAAGTAACTGATTTCATTCCAGAAGAACAAACCTTATTTATTGTTGTACATGGTGTTGTTGATGGTAATCCTGCTTTAATCACTGCTTATCTAGCAGGTGCCTATACATATAATTATATATTTATACTTAACCAAGACCAGCAGAACAAACATTTCCTAAAATAGCTTCATCTATAGCATCTTATGGGATTTAAACTTAAGACAATGCACCTTTTATTGCTGTGGCTCCTAATTCTGTTGCTTTCACTTTACTCAATTTCCCTAAAAAACAACCTATTGGTGTTCTTGCTGCTGATACAATATATGCTGCTTTCATTAGAAATATTAATTTTAATTAATTTTTAATTCTGTTTTCCCTTACATACACACTATTCATTAGATATTATCATTCATAATACGCACAAATCAAATATGTAATCATTTGAATGAATTATTTATTATAATTCTCTATATTAATATAAATGCTAATTAATACGTCACTTTTACAATATATTCTTTTACTATTATTATTCATTATTTAAAAAAATATACATTAAAAATAAATATCTATTTCATTTAACCAACATAATTTATTATATATAAATTTCCTTAAACAGATTTCAATTAAGGTCTCTATTCTAAATATAGTCTATATCAATTTTTCATTTCCGATTGAAAATATATTACCCGAATTCATACCCAAAGAATTAAATAAAATTAATTGAACTATATTTAAAATCATATTATATAACGAAGCATTTCTACTTAAAATCTTAACTATGTTGATCTCAATCTCAATTTTTTAATCTTAATAATCAAATTGTTAGTTAATTGTTTTCTAATANGTGTCCATCTACCTGTTTTAATAGATTCAAGTGCTCTTTCATAACTAGTAATAGTAAAATCATCTTATAATTATCTTGTTAATTTAAGATCATTAACTGTCTTCTCTGCACAAACACCCATTGCAACATTACTATAAGCATCAGATAAACCATCTGTAGCTAATCCATCTAATAATTTGCCATCTCCATATTTCAATGGTTGTCTTGCATTAATATAATGAGGAATGTTAGACATGGATTCAAATCCTCCTGTTAATACTATATTAGATAATCCTAATTAAATGCTTTATGCACCAAAAGTAACTGATTTCATTCCAGAAGAACAAACCTTATTTATTGTTGTACATGGTGTTGTTGATGGTAATCCTGCTTTAATCACTGCTTATCTAGCAGGTGCCTATACATATAATTATATATTTATACTTAACCAAGACCAGCAGAACAAACATTTCCTAAAATAGCTTCATCTATAGCATCTTATGGGATTTAAACTTAAGACAATGCACCTTTTATTGCTGTGGCTCCTAATTCTGTTGCTTTCACTTTACTCAATTTCCCTAAAAAACAACCTATTGGTGTTCTTGCTGCTGATACAATATATGCTGCTTTCATTAGAAATATTAATTTTAATTAATTTTTAATTCTGTTTTCCCTTACATACACACTATTCATTAGATATTATCATTCATAATACGCACAAATCAAATATGTAATCATTTGAATGAATTATTTATTATAATTCTCTATATTAATATAAATGCTAATTAATACGTCACTTTTACAATATATTCTTTTACTATTATTATTCATTATTTAAAAAAATATACATTAAAAATAAATATCTATTTCATTTAACCAACATAATTTATTATATATAAATTTCCTTAAACAGATTTCAATTAAGGTCTCTATTCTAAATATAGTCTATATCAATTTTTCATTTCCGATTGAAAATATATTACCCGAATTCATACCCAAAGAATTAAATAAAATTAATTGAACTATATTTAAAATCATATTATATAACGAAGCATTTCTACTTAAAATCTTAACTATGTTGATCTCAATCTCAATTTTTTAATCTTAATAATCAAATTGTTAGTTAATTGTTTTCTAATATTTTAACTCTTTAAAATCAAATCTTTGATTTTCTGAATAAATTCATTGATTTGACAAAGAATTTATTGAAAAACCCAAATTAATTAATTCTAATTTACCTTTGCTAGCCATCATATTAAATGATAGAGATATACTAATATTAGATTACAGAATACTACTCTATAAATAAAATACAATATAATTAAATTACATGATCAAGTACATTAAAAATCAATAATTTATGTTGTCCAATCATATATAAATTCTTTTTTCTTAATATGAAAATTTATGATTTTAGATAAAATTAATATTAGATTAAATAAATATTATTAATTAGCTCCATAACAAACTTAAAAATTTCTTATTTTGTTAAAAATCTATTTTTTAATATTTGAAAATTGATCAACTATTATATATATTTCAAAAGATTTAAGTAATTTTCCATTCTATTTTAGAGATTATAATCTGCATAGTTTATATTTGTGATTATATCTGCTATAATGAATATTTTGTAATTATATGTGAATAATAAATATCTTGAATTTAACAACTTTATCAAAATCATAAAAAAGGAGATAATTTATGGGGGAAACAGAACATGTTATGCTGAAGAATTCTTGCTTTAACTTTAATGAAAGTCTGATTATGTATATTACAGGTCTCTAATATTAAATAGTTTCAGATAAATGTAATTATTAAAACATCGTATGTATTAAAAATCATTAAAAATTATGTCTGATTTCATTATGAATCTTTTTATTGCTTCAACATCATCATTTATTTCAAGTTGTTTTTGTACTCCAATAGAAAATGTTCCAACCTCAATACTGTAGAAAAGTGAATAGAAAGTATTTACTTAAACTATAATTAAAGAATTTATCTCATATATGTAGAGGGATTTTAACAAATACAATTAAATATATTCCACATTCAGCATTAACCTTTGCTTTTAAAGATGCCTATTCAAATGCTTTTCTAAAGAAATGTAAAGTTCTTTAATATTTTAGCAAATGATTATAAAAATATAAAAAATTTATTTTTAGGAAGTCTAGCTGGAGTTTCAACAATGTTTGTTATATATCCATATGAATATGTAAAATCAAGAACTACATATTTATAAAAAGTAGTTAAAAGAACTAATGTTTAATGGAGAGATTGCTTTATAGAAATATTAAAAACTAATAAAATATTAGGATTTTATAAGGGGTTTGGTGCTTGCACATTTCCAATAATTATTTTTAGAGGTCTTTAATTAGGAATATATGATAATACAAAGGATATAACACAAGGTCTTCCATTCATTGGTCAACTCTTTTGGGTTTAAATCCTTACATTTGTATCTCATATAATCTCTTTTCCTTTTTTTAAAATAATGATAATGATGAAAGCTGATTCTCTTAATTTTAATCACAAATCTGTTAGATATAAAAATTTTATTGATTGTACAAATCAAATACTTAAATCTTAAAAATTAATATACTTATTTGAGGGATCTTCCTAAAAATTTTTATTAGCCACAAAAGATGCCATGACTCTAATTTTATATTATAATATCCAATAATATTTTTAAGGAAAATAAACCTATAAAAATTGACATCATGAATTAAATGATTCAATGAATTTATTATTTAAACAAAAATTTAATATTTAACAATATCAAATAATATCATACAATTTCTATGCAATCATGTAAATCAGCTAATCTTACACAAAAGAATAGTTTTTAGTCCTTATGAAATTCTAAGGGGATTATAGTTTAAACTTATTAATCTCTTTTAATTATTAATTATTTATGGAATGGTTTAAAAGATAATTCAAGAGTAGAATTACTATAAAATCTTAAATTTGGAGAACTCTTTGACATATCTTATCCAGTCATAGATCTGATATATCCATTAGAATTTAATAGATAACATCCATGATCTTTATTATGTGATCCAGAAACATGTTCAGCTGAACCAGAAAATATAAAATTATCTTCTTACAATTTTGATTAATCACATATTCCAACTGCCATTGGATATCTTTAATTAGAACTTCTGCAAACTTTAATTATAATTGTTATTTGTTATTCTCTAGTTAATCCACTTCCATAAATAGATGGTTTAATTATTGCAATTCTTTTATCATTATCTGTAATTAATTTAACTTATTTAGGTGTAATTTACAATCCTTAACCAAAGCATTCAGGATGAAATTAATAAGTTGTACTATAAGTATTTTATGTTTCAATTAATTAAATTTATTCTCCAACTCTCTTTTTTGTTCTATTTGGTTTATAATAAAATTAGCTAAGAGATTATGTTATTGATATACGATCATCTGGAGATCCAGGAGATTTTTCAATTGATACCATTCTTTTATAGCTAGATATTCTCTAATGAGATCTTTTAAATTCATCATTTGTTTAAGAATATTTCTTTTATTTAAAACTAGTACTCAATTAAGAATTTTATGATATACAATTATTATTATTATCTATGTCTTATTTAAATGAATTAATAAATTCTTTCAATTTTCTAAATAAAATATTTTCACCTTCTGTTTCTTCTGATTGATCTATTATACAATCATTTCTTGCTATTAATTCTTATCGTTTCTAATTATATTCTACCTTTGAGAGAAATTATGTCATTAATTTTTATAATAAATTCTAATCATTTAACTTAATTGCTTAATTAAATATCTCATAATTTGGTAAAATACATGCAAATTCTTCATTTTTTATAATGATAAATACATTCATAATATTGTAATTTTCTCTCCAACATCTCTTTTTATTTATTAATAGCATCATTAACAATATCTTACAATTCAGTTAATTATTTAATTATTTCTCTAATTTTAGTTAACATATCATTTTGCATATTGGCAGAGTCCTATAATTTAAAATCCTTGAATTTAATTTAAGTATATACAATTTCATTTAATAATTGAGCTCCTTATTTTTGCAATAAAGTTATAAATTTCTTATAATGAATTACTTAATGACCACTATGATTTTATTCAACGCAAGCTAAACAATTTAGAACTTTATTTTTAGATATACATTCTGTATTAAGACATAATAATTCTAATGGTTCATCTTTTTATTAACATTATATATATACCTTAATGATATCCAGCTAATTAACAATTAATATTCATCTTTAATTAAAATAATAATAATAAAATTTTATTTCTTTATATTAATCACAATTCTTCAACATATTCCTCTAAAATCTCTTCAAAATAATCATCCTCTTTTTTATTAATATCAGTAATTTATGTATCATTATCAATATTCTATTTTATATTTTTTTAATCGATAATCTCTTTTCCTGAATAGAATTCACTTATTTAATTTACTTTTTTTTTATTTTATTAAGGAGACTAAAATTAATTTGTAATATTAAATTAAATTGAATTATTATCTGATGTGATCTATTACACATCAGAAGGTCTTTTTAAAGTAGCTATTGGAATTTATGATTGACTATAATGGAAAGTATCACTATTACTATAATTATGATTGCTAGGTTTTCTAGATTCAGAACTTTTAAGCTGTTAATCATTGTTTTTAAATTCTAATATATTAGTAATTATAAACTTTACATGAGAAAGTTAAGAATTATTCACTTGTAATAATGTTTTGAATTTGATTTGATATTTCTGGTGGTTTTATTAAATTCTTAAAGTCATCTTTCTATTTTTCTATCGATTTCAATTTTTTACTCTCAACTATTGGATAATTAAATTCTTCATCATCTGAATATGTGAATTTTTTTGTTATTTTTGGAATATATCTAATAGAATCATGACTAAAATATGTTAAATTGTGTAGAGTAGTTTATAAATCACACTCTTATTATATAAATTATCTTAAAAAGTGTAAGTTGATATTTTCTACTTCATTTGAATATAAATAATTCATCATCAACAAATAATCTATTTGTTCATAAGTAAAATTATATTTGTTTTTTAATAGTAAGATAAAATCATCTTTGTTATATATTTGATTTTATATATTACTTTAAATCAATTTATAATTCACTTCTTTACTAAAATAATTCTATTTTAAAATTGTCTAAAATGATAACTATTTTATTAAATTATATCAAATACATATTCAGATTTAATTTTTGGATGATTATAAAATTAATCAATAATCTCTTTAACTTCTTAAGTGTCTTACCATTATACTTAATTAGAGAATCCTTAATCTTCTCCAATAAAGTATCTACAAAGTACAATAGAATCCGATCTTTAAAAGTTGTAAGGAGCATTCATAAATATTTAAATTGCCTCACCTAATTAAATGAAGTCTTTGTTATAAAATGTAAAATGGATTCTTTCTTTAGTTAATTTTTATGAGATTATTTTGAATTTTAATTATTATAATAAAATATCCAATCTATTTTTATTTATAGGTTTAGAATTTAAATCCTAATTAAGATCAGATGTTTAATTTTCTGGAAATTAAGTCATCTCATCTCTATATGTTATAGGAGGAAAAAATGATTTATTTTATTACAACATTAATGGAGAATCAGAAGGTTTTGGAGAGTTTTTTTATTTAAGCAAATCTAAAATATTAATTCGATCATTTAAATCTTATCTAAAATATTATCTATATTACATAATAATATCTTTTTTGCTACATTATTCTTCCAAATTTTATTTTTGTTTCTATAATTCTATTATTGTTTACTTAAACTCCTTTTCTTAATCTTTGATTTACTTCTATAAAAATTTAGATTTATTTTCATACAAAGATAACTCACCTTTCAATGTATCTAATTACTTTAAAGTAGCACTTAATAATAAATTAAAATATTTACGATAATTTCATTTCTAAAAATTCTCTTTTCTTTTATTAATATACTTCATTTTCTGTGATTGTTTACTCTTCCAACTATTTTTTATAATTAATTTTCTCAAAATTCAATTATTTCATTTCTTCTAATAATTTTGCATTATCATTAGACATTTCCTAATATTCCAATTTTAATTTATCATTTTATATAGTCAATTCTCTTATTGAATTTTCTTGTTAATGTACTGTAATTGTAAATTTGGATAATTTTTCAATGATATTAGGATCATTCACCAAACTTTTATAAATTATAAATTAAATTACTCTTAATCTGTAATATTGAGAGCAGATTAAATTACTTATTTAAGTTTGATAATTTCATTTTATTAATTATGAATCTCTCTTTATAACTCTGATAATTTAGTCAATTTAACAGACTTATATTGTTAATGTAAATCAGTTTATAATTCTTCAATTTAATTACGTTATTCCTTTACTTTAGCTTTTAAAATTGGTACAATACTACCTTCTCCACCTTAAACTACTCCAAGTGGATCACAACTTACCTAATATTTATCTACTTTCTCTATTTTTATTATTTATTTCTTTTGTATAATTTTATTGATACCTTTAATTAGGCTACAAAGGCTTTAAGTTTTGAATTTTCAAATTTTAACTCATTACACTATTATTTTAATTATAAGTTCGCAAAATACAATTGCTCTTGATCTTCAAAATATTCTTTTGGTGCAACCTAATTTTGAATTGGCTTTTTCGAATATATTAATTATGAACTCTTCTAGAATAGTATTATTACGTATTAATCCCTGATTCTTATCTCTCTTTTACTATTTTTGTAATTATTGCACTTTGAGGCCGACGTTTCATATTTTTGATAATTTTATATATTTTATAAGTTATATACAATTCATATTTTATATTAAGCAAATATTTTAAAGAGTTTTTTTAGATTCAAATTTTCATTTGATTCTAGTTAAAATTTTAGAATTTTAGAAATTTAGAAATTTATAGAATAAAATTCATTGATCCTAAATTAAGAATTTTAGATAATAGATAAAATAATTTAATTGAAAATATTTATGAAAGATTTTATAATCTATAATATAAAGTAGTTAATTAGTAGTATTCTATAAAAAATATAATGTTTGTGTATGATAGCAAAGAATTCAGAATTTCTTTCTCATAATTAATTTTATTCTTAATTAATTTAAGATTTGATGCAAAAACTTAAACACACATTAGTTACTTTTAAAATATGTCCATTTTGTATGCGTGTAATTGCTTTAATGTGTTACAAGAACATTAAATTTGAAATAAAATTCATAGAAATGCATAATTAACCTGAATGGTTTATAAAAATTAGTCCTTTAGCAAGAGTACCTATATTAATGGTTGGAGATGATAGTAAATAATTTATAAGTATGTTATTAAGTTGTTTTATTTGAATCTGATGCAATAATGGAATATATAGATGAAATAACCTCACCATAGATAATGCCATCTGATCCATTATAAAAAGCGTTAGATAGAGGAAAATTCGAATATGCAAGTGAGATTATGAAAAACATGTCTATTTTTGTATTTTCTTAAGATGAGGAAGTATTTATATGTGTATATGCAAAAAGAAATTCTTTAAACATAAGGAGTTGTTAAAAACAAATTTTGAATAAGTAGAAAAATGGTTAGAGAATAAAAAATATATGAATGGAGATCAAATATCACTTGTTGACTTTTGCTTTATTCCAGTATTTGTTAATTTAAGTATTTTTAAACCTGTAATATAAAATTGTGATTTAACAAAAAATTTACCAAAAGTATAAATAGAAAATATTTTAGTTTAATAAATATGGAGAAACTCTTCTATAACTTCCATGTTCAAAAGCAGCAAGAGTACCAGATTATGAATTACTTGTTGTTGAAGGAGTAAAAAAGATAAATAGTTACTTATTTAGATCAAATCCATGTTTTTTCAAAAGTATTCAATAATCTAATAATTCATGTTTAGGAAAATGAAATTCTATTTTATAATTTTTTTTCCTAATTAAATATAATAAAGTAAATTAATATATAAATAAATATTATAACAAAAACTTAATCAATATTAAGGATGACTTTGAATTTAAAGGTTGTTATTTAAGTTATTTTAATATAATTGTAATAACTCTTATTATTGTAACTTTTTCTTTTTAGCTGAAAATTTACATGCTCCAACAATTAAACCTATCAAAGCTATACAAGAAATAATGATAGGAGCTAAAACATGAACTAATAATGTATCTGGAAATACAATATAATCTTAATAGACTAAAAGTTTATCAAAAGGTATAGTTTATTTAATCGAACCATGATCAACTATTGCAGTAATTCTTACATTATACCATCCCGATTCTTAATTTGGAAAATTGACTTGAATATCCTATTTTCCATAATTGTAATTTTAAGAGAAAGTACTTAATTCAGAAATATAAGATGTTCCATATTAATTTTAAAGAGTTTCATCACCTTAGACACATGCTAAATAATCATTTTCATAAGCATCATTACTCACTACAACATGGAATTCCACATTTTCATTTTTTAATACTTTAATAGCAGGTACTTAAATGTTTATTTTCCCTTATCTCACTTATGCATATACATAGTAATCTTTATTTGCATATTCTTTTATGTAATTAAAATCTACTTAAGAAGCAATTTAATACTAATAAAATATATTAATTTTATTTACTTTGATAAAAACATCAGGTGAATAATAAGAGTTCTATGATAATCGATAATAATAGTTTCCTTATTACCCTGATATTACATCATAATAAACATTTGTTCTGTAAGATAATCCAGACACATTATGATAAAGATAATTTTAGTCATATCCTTTCACTGAAATATGACTATATGAGTTTGAACATTTTATTATTTCCATATAGATAAATTAAGAATTATAGACCGTTATTTTAAAGTCATTATCTACATAATTAAGTGTCGCTAATTATGCTGAGTTTTAACTCAAAGTATTTTATTGAACATTATAATTCTCTGATAAAAAATTGAATTTAGCAATCTCTTTTTTGAAATAAGCATCAAATACTGAGATTACGATTTCATCATAATTAAAATCATTTGATACCGTAAGTGTAAAATTTGTATCTGTACACTCAAAAGTTCTTCGTTGTTCTGGAGATACTTCAAGACCTGTATAGTTTTAAGATCTCCAAGCATCATAAGTGAGATTCTAATACTATCTCTAAAATTTACATCACATCTCAGACTTATCTAATTAACTAAGTAATTTGTTTTAAATTACAACGTTCTATTATAGATTTCTTTAGGATTCAACAAAAAAGAAAAAGAATTTCGACTCTCTCCTATTGTTATTCCTAAAATGACTAAATATATAAATTTCATCATCCTTTATTAATAATTATTTTTTTAAATATATATATTTAAAATCAAAAATTATTTATACAATATGGATGAAATAATTCCATATATATAAATATCATTTATCCACCAAATTTCTATTTTACTCCATATAATTCTTAAATTTTTATCAAAAAATATTATAAATGAATCATTTTCATGTGGAAAACTTTAATCATAATCAAATATAATAACTTATAATCATTTTCATCAGCCAATTAAATTACAGAAAATTATCAATACTAATATTACTAAGGTTTCTTATATTTAAATAAAACAAAGAATTAAGCTGAATTTGCAGCTATCATAACAATAAAGGTTTTAAATTTTACGAAATAAAGAAAAAAAATTATTACTAATTTATAAAATATATTATTAAAAATAAATTTTTTTAATAGAAAATACATTTAAGTTTGAATTCTAATAAAAAGAATTTTCATTATTAATGATTTCTTAAAAATATACCCTAAACCTATTAGATAACTTAGTTAAAAGAGAAAGTATATATATATTGAAGAAACCTAATCAAATCTAAAGTAAAATTAATTTTGTAAATAAACATCATTGATGTATTTATTAAAGAAAAAGAATAGTAATAGAGAAAAAAAAGTGAAGAACTTATCAAAATAAATTGGAAAGAATTATTGTCAATATGATGTTCATAATCTCAAAACTATTGACTAAAATGAATCCAAAAATTGATTAAGTTAAAAAGTCTTTAACCCCAATAAATTGAATTCAAAGAATATGAGATTTAACTAATATATTCTATAAGTGTAGGAATCTCTAAAGGTAATTCAAATTTATTTAAAAAATTTAGTAATTCTTCTAATCTTTAATTCAAAAATCAAGGACCTTCTACCTCAATAATTCAGGAATCAATAATAATTCTTCTTCAAAATTTTTATTATTGATGAATTTGCGTAATATAAAAATATTTTTTTTTAATATGAATAATAATAAATTCATATAATTTAATTAACTTTATGCTATTTTTTTTTTCCATCCAAAATTTAATGCTAATTAAAAACTAATAGAATTTCAGAGTTTATAAAACCAAAATGATCATTAATAAATAGTAATAATCATATAATATAGAAATGAACCCAATTGGCTTAGATTTGTTCTAACAAGATTCTTGTTAAAATGAATATTATTAAAATGAGCAAATTTCTGATCACTTCTATCAATTTCCTTGTTAGTCTTAGAACATCCAACCAACCACAGCGATGACAAAATATGAGACAGTAAAAATAAATGAAGAAGATATAAAATACAAAAATTTACCAAAAATGATTGGTAATAACATCGTAAAATGGATAAAGAAATATAAATATAATTCAAAAAATTAATCAATTCCTGAAGGACTAAAAAAATTGATAGAATTAAGAGAAAAAGAGAAATAATCTAAAATAAAAATAAAAGACTTAAGGGATTCTATATCGGCTGAGTAAGAGTCCTAAATGGTATTTAAAGAGTACATAGCTGACTAGCTATACTTGGATTTAGTATTTAGTAACAAAATATCTGATCCATTTTCTTATGTTCCAGGAATAAGTAATTATTACTCTGCTGCTGAAGAACCAGAGAAAATGAAGGGAAATTACATGATGAAAAAAGAATTCATCGATTAATGATTATGTTATATTTTTAACTATTAAATAAAAATATCAGAATTGCTTTTAAAATATATATGTTTTAATAATGATAATATATTATTTAATTTTATAAATTAGCTGTTTTTTGATGAATCCTTATTGTTCAATGCATAAAGAAGATATAATTAACTTTTGCGTTGATTCAAATTGTTAAACCAGATGTTTATGTAAATCATGTAAACATGAACATGAGACCGTTCCTATATCTTATCTAATTGAGAATATATTTGTAAAAGAGACAATGAATATCGTTACATTGTTCAAAGTAATAATATAAAAAATGGTTCATTCTATTGAGAGTGATTTAAAAACATAATTAGAAGAAATCTAATATGAGAAAGCACCAAATGAAATAACCTAATTAAGTGCTTTTTTGAGAAAAAAATATTAGATTTTTTAGATCCTTAAGGAATCAATTTAATTTAAACTTTAAAGGGTTATAGATGCTATTAGATAACCTGTTAGTTCATCTAAGCCACAATTTCCTAATTCTTTAAATAGTCTACCCATTATGGATAGAGATGTAAATAAATAATCAACTTAAGTTATTAAGAAATTAAAATCAGAAGAATAAATTAGAATAGTGAATACTGAGAAAATTGAAGAAACTCTTATGTTAGATAAATTAGAGATTCAAAGATTAAAATCATTTAATGAAGAAAATTGGCCATGGAGATTAGAATAAGGTGCTTAATTTGTGACTATATTTACTGCTCTTAGAAACTTCAAATTATTGGGTTTTAAATAACCAATATTATTTTGCTCAAATTTAATCAATCATTAAAGAAAACCTATTAATTTTAGCTTTGCTCTTTATCATAAGAAAAATTTATAAAAAAAAGCAATTTATGTAGAGAGTAAGACGATAAAACATAAAAATGAAAAAGTAGTAGATAGATGTTATGACATAGCATTCAAAATACCTTAAAAAATATAAATGGGAAAAGAATATTCATTAGTAATATGGAGTAATTCTGGATTTTATAGTCATTATTATAGTTTACCTGCTCCTTCTAATGATTTTATTGAATTTTAATAATAAGATTACAATGATCATCCAAAAATAAAAAAACCAGAACTTGTTCATAAAGTAATTTCTACTTATAGAGCAGGTTTGATTCCTGCTTTATATATTGATCCTAGATAAGAAAATGATAAATGATTATAAACAATGTATTTAACATTTATAATATCGAATTTTCATATATAAATTTGATTTATGTATTTTATATTATTATGTGTTATTGATTTGAATCATGCAAATGTCTTTTTGGTCATAATATTATAGAAATCTTCAAATGTCACTTAAGCATCAGCATCAGAATCAGCTCTGTCAATCATTTCTTATAATTCTGAGTCATCCATTGTTTCTCCTAATTCTTTTGCTACTTTTCTGAGATCCTTCAAAGTGATAACACCTGCTCTTTCTGAATCAAAAAGATTGAACACTTTCTATATAAAAATATTATTATTTTAATTACCTAAATGTCAGCTCTAGAATCTCTTTCACTTATTCTTGCTGTCATTAATTTCAAAAATTCAGCAAAATCTATTTATCCACTTCCATCTGTATCCAAATCGCTGATCATTTAATAAATTGTTTGATTTTTAGCTTCAAATCCTAATGATGTCATTGCAGCCTTTAATTCCTTTGGATCTATTGATTATGTACTAAAATTATCTAAATTATATATACCCATCTGTATCAAATAAGTCAAATGCCTCTTTTATTTCTAAAACTTCTTCTTCAGTCAATCCTGGCTTCACAAATTCAGCAGGGTTGAATTTTCCTGCTTAATTTTTTTAAGCTGGTGGAGCTTATTATTGTTAAGGTGGTGGTTATTGACCTCTTCTTGCCATTATTAAAATAAAAAATAATTAATAAAAAAAAGATATTAATCATCCTTATATATAATCAAAAAAGAACTATTATATAGAGTATTTTATTTATTTAAATTATTCTCTACTCAATATTTTATTGAATAATATAATGACTATATATACCAATAAAAACTTATTATTTTTTTTGTCTTTTTTCTCTTTAATAAAAAACTCTGTTGCATTCCATTATAGTCTTTTCTTAATCATTTTAATTAATATAGTTCTTATTTAACTACTTTCCGGTGTTGAATTTTATTTAATAAAATAAAATTTATTTTTATTTAAAATATTTGAGAATAAAAATGAATAAATAAATAGTTATTTTATTATAAATATAAGCATCATTTATTTTATCATTATTAAAATTATTTGTTATAAGAGATAGCATTATTAATTAAGGCAACCCACTATGTAGCTGGATGCTCTCTTTATTTAAAGTAATATTTTTTATCATTGCTTATGATGATAAATTCACCATCATTTCCAATTTTACATTTAGCACCATTCAATTAGATTTAATGCTAAAATATAATATAAAGCATACATTTTTCTTTTTATATGGATTATAATAAAAAAGTTCTTATTAGAATTTTTTTTAAATTAGCTACATAGTTCTTGGAGTATATTATCCAAACATGAGCACACCTGAATGTTTATCAACTATACCACTTAAAATCAAAGATACACCATCATTAACTAAGGTAGTTTTAGCTCTAAGATACTATCATAAAAAATAAAAATAATTATACATTTTTTCTTTCAATTTTAGGCTATTCGTTGATTTATTGTTATTTCTACCACAAGGATTCAAAATTAACACTAGATAAAAAAGGATGTTTTTTTAAAATTGAATAGTCACAATTATTTTCAATAGCATCAATTAATCTTCTACCAGCATCTTTGGTTAATAACATTTATATAAAATCGATAGCATTTTGATCCTTTATTAAATCATAGTTTGGTTCTAGATCGGTAATGTTTTAAAACATAATATATTCAATGTCATTTTGAAAAGGAGTGTTTCCAGTAAATAATTCATAAATCATTACTCCAAGCGCCCATAAATCAGATTATGGACCACAACTATTCTTATCAAGTAACTCTGGAGACAAGTATTCTCCAGTTCCACAAAAACTTGATTTTCTACAAAATTTTATATCAGATTCTTCTTTAGTAACATCCTTTCCTTTAAATAGTAAAATAGTTCCAAAATCAATTAATTTTAAGAATTTATCTTCTGTAATCATTAAGTTCTCAGGCTTAGGTATAATATTTTATGATACTTTAATATCTCTATGAACAATTCCTTTCTTATGAACTTACTCCAAGATGACAACTAATTAAGCAGCATAAAATTAAATCTCTTTTTTTGTTAGTTATTTACCTAATTTTAATTAGTTATCAAATACCTTTGATGAAATTTCTGAATGTACCACAATTCATCAATTCTAAAGAGAGATACAATTTTGTATTAGATTCATATGTAGCATAACATTTTATAACCCCAGGATGATTTATAGACATTAAAGCATTAGATTCTAAATAGATTAGATGACTTTTATTTTGCTTCAGATTTACATTTATTATTACTTTTGTTAAAAAAACCTTATCTATTACTTTGATTGCAGTTTCTTCTCCATTTCTTTTGTTCTTTCCCCAAAATACTTCACTATAAGATCCTGTTCCTAGCATTTTAACAAAACTGTAATCATTAATCTCCTTGCAAGAAAGCCGACTTAGAACTTAATTTTAATTCATTTCTAATAAAATTATTATATGGAATCAATTGGAATAACAATATAAAACTATAAAAGTAGAATTATTATAATTTTATAATTTTTATGTATATTATTAAATTCTTTCTATAATATATTTTAATTAAATATTTTATTTGTAATCTTAAATACTTTATATTGATGAGTAAAAGGATTGCAATTTAATTAATAAATATTCATTGAATTAAGATTTTTATTTGAGATGTTTAATAATTATTTTTTGCTTTATTTCAAAAGTAAATGAATGTTTTCAGGACCCACAGTAAAATTTATTAATTTGAGAATTGAATGATATAAAAAAAAAATCATAATAATTCAAAAATTTTAAAAAAGTAAATATGAAAATATGAAGAGATTATTTGATAAATATGAATTACCAAATTTATTCTAATTTTTGCTATAAAAGTTTGAGTAATATTGTTTTAAAAAATGCTCTCTCATTTATCACTTTTTATTTTAAAATCTTACATGTCTAAACTCTGATCAATTTTACTTGTAATTTTAAATTCTTAAAATTTATTATTTGAACAAATATTTCTTATATTATAGAATTCATAAATTATATATTTATATTAATATTTATTATTATTAATTTCAATGATTACTTCAAATAATACCTTTTTACTTCAATTCATCTACTACTCTATCAAAATATGTAGGATCTGGATAACCATAATTTGATGAACCACCATCTAAACTTGTTTTATGATGAATCCCATTCCAAATAACACAATTTTCTTCTCCTGTTGTTAATGATGTTCCTATAGTAAATAATAATTTTTATTTAAAAGCTTTTTATAATAAACTTAATACATAATTACCTTCTCCATTGTCAGGTAAAAATGCATATCTTGTTGTTCCATAATAATGCCTACCATTTCTTAATCCACTAGGAAATTTGTATGTAATTTAAATCGTGTCACATTTATAACCTGCACACTTACTCTTTATTTTTTTAATATCCATTGTTCCATCAGGTTAATCCCCTTTCTATTCTCCAAATATTTAATTACAAACAGGACATTTTAGAGATTTTTTATTTAATAAAGGTTATAGACAATCATAATGGTATTGATGAGAACAACTTAAAGATATTACATATTTATCTTAGTAATCGCTATCAGCAAAATATCTGTCATAACAAATTGGGCATAGATTTAGGCTACCATCTTCTGAAATTTAAGGTTAATCAACAATACTCATTTTATATTAATTCATGTCTTCTTTCATTTTTATGACTAATTCTTATTTTACTTGATACCAATACTTTCTTTTTATTTATTTAGTTAAATTTAAATTTTTTTCGCTGATGACTTGAATCTATTTGGAATCCTCATTATTTTTTATATTCATTTAATCTTAAGTTTGCTTGATTTCTTAATTCAACTCTTATGGCATATTTTTTTACTACTATAATTATTATTATTATTTAAATTATTCTATTTTACTATGAGAAGAAATAGCAGAATACATCATCTCTTCTCCTTCATTATCAGATTAAATTGGAGAATCATATTTTTCACCTTTTATTTATTCTGTTTACTCAAATTAGGCATTTTTTTATTAAATATTACTTTTGTCATTTGGTTATATTTCTATATTTATTTTAGTTTTTTAGGCTGTATTTTCCAATTAACTTTGAAATGAAGAGTTCTGTTTTAATTCGTCGTTATTCCCCTTTAAAATTTAAGATTAGAATTATTGATTTTAGGATTATAATAAATTCTAATCAAATTTTTCAGTATTTTTTTAGATTTACTAATTTTATTAATGATAATTTTTTAAAGGCTTATTTGTATCTATTTCTTTTTATTATTGATTCTGACTTTAAGATAAATGCGAAGATTGTGATAAATTCTAATCAAATTGATCATTACTTTTATAGAATTGCTAATTCTATTAATTTTAATTATTTAAAGGTTTTGCTTTTTATTATTCAGAGTCATTTGAGGATGAATTAATTTAATTAATAATTACACTATAACAAGTTTCTGAAATATCTTAAAAAGATTAACATTTGCTTTACCTTTAGCTCAAAAATTCTAGATTATATGTATAAATTATATCTTAATCAATATTTTTTCCAATATTTTAGCTATTATTATCATTTAAAATTTGTTGTCTTAATAAGAAGTACTATTTTTCTGTTTTTTCCTAATTTTCTAGAATTTGATTAATATATTAAATTCTCATGCTTATTTCTTAAAGATGAGATTCAATCTTAGGGTTTTTCCAAAAGGAGAAATCATAAAGTTTTTTTTATATGGATTGGAGTTTTTCAATTTGTTCATTCAAATATTTTTATCCATTGTTCATTCTTAGAAAGTATAAAATATTTAAAAATATATTATTATATATAAAAATGGCTTTTGTATTTTAAGCAGAAAGAAATATGCTAAATAAACCATCGGGTGTTCCTCCAAATGTAAAATGGATTTAATACAAATAGGTTGGTCCTGGCAGTTATCTTGCACATGAATAATTAAAAATAAAATAAGGAAATGCTCCTTTTGATACATAAGTTACAAGAAATCCTGCAATAAAATAAGAAATTTCTCCTGGACCAGGAAGCTATAATCTTTAAAATGAAGTATAAGGGTAAGATACTTAAATTAAATGTTTTCTGAGGTAAAACATAGTTCTATAATCGCCTTTATCATAAGTGAAAGTAATCGAAAGACCTTAACCTTAATCAGTTTTTGCTTCTTAGAGTAAAAGATTTCATCATCCGAAAAGTATGATATCACCTGGGTATTTAATTATTCTTAAATAAATGAAAGTCCTGGGGCATATGATGCAAGTAACTGTGGAACTAGAGTTATTCAATAATAATATACATCATAACATTATATTGAAAACTTAATGAAAATGAACAAATATTAATCAATACCTTCCATACCTTCATCAAATCAAGTTTATGGTTATACAGAAAAAGGAAGTAATTAAAATTTATTAAGACTATTTAGCACATGATTTAGAAGTTAACAAATTTCCATTTCCAACATTTACTGGTCTTAAATAAGATTCAGTTGGTCCAGGTTAATATGAAGTAAAGGATGCATTTGAATAGAATAAATATAAAGGAAATTTTTGGCATAAATCTAAAGTTTAAAGATTAGAACCAACCATATCAAAAGAAAAAGAATTAATGGTTGGACCTGGTACTTATGATCCTAATGCATCTGTTGTACCATTACATAAGCTAAATCCATCAGGAAATTTCTAATCTAAATCTTAAAGATTGTTTGATTCAACTAAAGAAGAAAAATAGAAATAATTTATGAAAATATTCTTTGATAAATAAAAAGATAGACTTACAAAGAATGCAGGAAGTTAATTAGAAGATGATGAATATATATTTTGTGATGTAATTATCATCATTTATATTAAATCAAAAAGGATACAACACCAGGTCCAGGTTAATATTTAGGAAATATTTCCAGTTAATCAGCTATTTCAACTAATACATAAAATACAACTAAATTAGGAAAAAATTGTTTTGGATCTAAAAGTAGAAGATTTCAAGAAAAAAGAATGCCTTGTTATGTTGGTCCTGGAGATTATGAATTAGAAACTGATATTATTAAAGAAAGTATATCATAAAAATAACCTCCTTTTCAATCAACTAATTTACGATTTGAAGCTAAAAGCTATGAAAAGCGTCCAGGACCATAAACATATAATCCAAAAATTAATGTAATTAATAATATAATTAAGTTAGTTAGAAGATAAATTAATTAAAAAATTAGAAAGATCACCTGTTTCTAATTTTGGATCCAATTAATCAAGATTTAAACAATAAGAAAATGAAATGCCTGGTCCAGGAACATATGATTAATAAAATAAAAAAGTTAAAGGAGTTGTATCTGTTTTTACATCTAAAACAAAAAGAGCAGAAGCTACTTCAGTTTCTAAAGATAATTTTCCAGCTCCAGGTGCATATGATGTCAAAAATTACACCATTGAATAAACAACTAAAATTGAAAAAGAAGAAGATCCTGATTTGGCCATTTATAAACCAGCTTTTGGGTCATCATTACCTAGATTTATGTATAAAGAAAAAAAGCCTATTGATGAAGAAGATGATGAACAAGAAGATTAATAAATTAGAATGCATAATAATTCATCTATGTTTTAGAAAAAAAAAAAACCTCATCCTCCCTTTAATTTTAGAGTAATATCTACAATCATTATTTAACTTAGGAAAATAGATTTAATTATGAAAAAAACCAAGATAATTTACCTGGTCCAGGAGAATACTTTGATCCAAAAGAAAATGCTTGGAAAAAATCTACTTTTAATATTTTATTCTAAGAAATTTGATAATTTTGTATAATATTCATTATTATATTACCTTGACATTTATATCCTACTTTTAATCATTTTAAAAAATAAATTTATTATTTAAGAAAAAATTTAGATCTATTAATAATATTAAATTTTAAATATTCTAAAAACTTTCTTAAGAATTATTACTTTAATAAAATTGTTTGAAATTAGAATTGATCTCTCTTCTATTGATGTAAAATCTAAATTTAAATAGATTAAATAGAAAGCTATAGATAAATTAAAAGTCAAAAATTTATTTTCTTAAAATCATGAAAGCACAGAGCTGTTTTTTAAATTTACTTAAAAGATTTTAAATCTATCCTAGTGTATTTTTGTATATTTTATAAATTGAATGAACCTGCAATTTAAAATAATTGTGAAATAGATAAATTTGTTTAAAATTTATTTGAGAAACTTACCTATATTATTTACAATAAAAATTTATAAAGGAGACAAATATTTAAATAGTGGTTGTGTAGGTATGATTAAATTCCTATTAAGTTAGATTTTATTTATTATGAATTCATAATGTAATAAGAGTATAAATTCTTTTTTTCAAATAAATTTTAAAATGTTATTAAGATTTAAATAAAAATGATTAATCTTGTATTTTCTATAAACGTATTTAAAGAGTTAGTGTAAAGATAGGTATCAATTTAAGAATATTTAAGTATATTAATTTAATTTTACTCATTTATATATTTAATACAAAATTAAATGAGTAATTTCATTGTTATTGATTCTCTTAAGTTGCCAATTAATCCCATTCAATTATGGTTTCATCAATATTATCAATTCTATCCTATAATTAATGATCCATAAATTTAGATAAGGANAAAAAAAAAAAACCTCATCCTCCCTTTAATTTTAGAGTAATATCTACAATCATTATTTAACTTAGGAAAATAGATTTAATTATGAAAAAAACCAAGATAATTTACCTGGTCCAGGAGAATACTTTGATCCAAAAGAAAATGCTTGGAAAAAATCTACTTTTAATATTTTATTCTAAGAAATTTGATAATTTTGTATAATATTCATTATTATATTACCTTGACATTTATATCCTACTTTTAATCATTTTAAAAAATAAATTTATTATTTAAGAAAAAATTTAGATCTATTAATAATATTAAATTTTAAATATTCTAAAAACTTTCTTAAGAATTATTACTTTAATAAAATTGTTTGAAATTAGAATTGATCTCTCTTCTATTGATGTAAAATCTAAATTTAAATAGATTAAATAGAAAGCTATAGATAAATTAAAAGTCAAAAATTTATTTTCTTAAAATCATGAAAGCACAGAGCTGTTTTTTAAATTTACTTAAAAGATTTTAAATCTATCCTAGTGTATTTTTGTATATTTTATAAATTGAATGAACCTGCAATTTAAAATAATTGTGAAATAGATAAATTTGTTTAAAATTTATTTGAGAAACTTACCTATATTATTTACAATAAAAATTTATAAAGGAGACAAATATTTAAATAGTGGTTGTGTAGGTATGATTAAATTCCTATTAAGTTAGATTTTATTTATTATGAATTCATAATGTAATAAGAGTATAAATTCTTTTTTTCAAATAAATTTTAAAATGTTATTAAGATTTAAATAAAAATGATTAATCTTGTATTTTCTATAAACGTATTTAAAGAGTTAGTGTAAAGATAGGTATCAATTTAAGAATATTTAAGTATATTAATTTAATTTTACTCATTTATATATTTAATACAAAATTAAATGAGTAATTTCATTGTTATTGATTCTCTTAAGTTGCCAATTAATCCCATTCAATTATGGTTTCATCAATATTATCAATTCTATCCTATAATTAATGATCCATAAATTTAGATAAGGATACATATAATGGACGAACAAAGAATTTGTAAAACCCTATTTCTGATTTTGATAAAACAGAAATCTATATACTAAAGATGTTAATTACTTTTTGTAAATCTTTCATAAATGGTTATTAAGGTAATCCTAATCTTCCTTCTTCCTCATATTATGATTAAAATTCTTGATTAACTCTCAAAGACCATGATTTAGATATTGGCCATTTTGCAGCTGCACCAACAAAATCTGAAGTGTGAATAATCATTCCAGTTATTATTTTTATATCTTTCTCATTGTTTGCTTCAAAAAATTTGAGTAAATTGAAATGTTCCTACTTATCAGTAAATATTATATTCTAAATGAATTTCTCTCTAAATTATCTAAATTCTATATTCTTTAAAAAATTCATTCTATCTTTTAATAATAATTTGAGTGCTGTAGCTGCATGATATTACTCCAAAACATTTTTATCATGATATCTTATAGCTTTTTAAGACATATTATTAATTTCAAATATATTTGTTTTACCAGTATGTCCTACATCATGACACAATCCACTTAAAATTAATGATAATTTAGTTAATTAATCAAAGAGATCTCTATATTGTAATAAAGATATCATTTTGTTCATTATAACATGACAACTATGCATAACATTTACTCCATGATTATAATTATGAAATGGATTTCTACGTTTATCATATCGATATTCCAATTAACCTAAAAATTCACATAATCTGTTTTTATCAATCTCAAATTCTTCTAAAAAATTATTCTTTTTTAATATCTAATAAACAATTCTTTATTTTTCTATTGAATTATTTTCTATCTTGAATATATTAAAATCAAAACTATCTATCTAATCAATATATATTGGTTCCTATTCTAAATTTATTACATCTATTAAATTTATTTAAATTGTGTCTATAAATCCATTAATCATACTCTTTTTTTTTTTATTTACAATTCCAGAAATATGAACCTATTAAGGAATATAGAAAGATAATATAGTATCTTTTATTTCTGGATTATTTTATTCTAAATTTGATAAATATTATGTGGCTTCTTATCTTAATTTTATTTTTTTGGTTTCCATTTCCAAATTTCTTGTTTGTAAAAATCCTTCCGAAAATATAATGGCAAAACCTTTGAATTTTTTGTTTCTGGCTTTCATAAATATCTCATACAATTAATCAGTTTATTAAATATTCCATTTATTATCTAAATGTTATTCAATCACTTTTAATAACTTATCATTCTATATAATTTAATAATAATGTCCTCGATTATGATATGTTAATTAGAATTCTCTACTTAAAGAAGGAGGAATTGGTCTTGATAAAAAAGACAATTTACCCTCTTTATCAAATTCTAACATTATTGAATCTTTAGATTTAATGAAATATTTATAAAAAATAATTCTATCGTAACTTAACTCTATAAACTTCAAATATTTAGTATAAAGATTAGTTATAGTCTTATATATTTATATGTCATCCTTCTTATTTAAATTTAATCCTAGAACAATTATTTCTAAAGGCAATATATCTTTAAATTGTATTTTAGCAAATTTAGCCTATTTACTAGTGGGAGATAGATTAGTACTTGATAATGAAGTAGATGATCCTAACAGATCATTTTCAGTTTTTTCAATAGTATATTTAGTACGCAATAAATTGATGATTTAATTAATAAATAAATATTTACTGCATCGAACAAATTCAACACCAATATCAAGTATCATATTACCAATTTAAATAGGACTAAATAATTAAACTCTAGCTTCAATAGTTGCTTTGGAGATTAATTTACTTAATATTTAAACTTCATTAAGACATTTATATTCTAAAGTAAGATTAAGTAAAGTATCTTTAATTTAGCGTTAATGATAGAAGAAACACTCATCTTAAATTCTAATGGTATAAGTTCTTTGATATTACGAGAACATTAAAGAGAGTTTGGTTTGATTTTCTGTTAAAAGATTGACATTAGTTGTGACAGAGATTAAATCATGTAAATATTCATTTGTTTCAATATTATTAAACGAATTTTTGTTTGATTCATAAATTCCATATTAAGGATTAATGAAAGTGAATTCATCACAATTTAACAGATTTTGAACAAGTTTTGATGTAACAGCCATAATATTGTCGTTAATTAACAAAGTATGTGTATTCAAAAATTGATTTTTCAATTATTTATAGTAAAATTGAATCTCTTCTGCAATATTTTATTCTTAAAGTAAGATAATAGATGCCTATGGACTTAAAATAGATATTTTAGAAATGAATTGAGTTAATGATTTCAGATGATCTTATACTAAATAAGTAAGAGAATTTGATCTTGATTGATAAACATCTACAAGTGCTTCTCTAAGTTTATTTATATATGATATTAATTCTTCTTCAGTAATTTTACTTTCTTTAGAGAAACCACTTCTTCTACCAATAGTAGGACTAGATTCAGAAACATGAGACTTTCTTCTTAGACCAGGTGAATTGAGTAATTTAAAAGTTTAATGTTTAGATTTTACATATTCAACTAACTATTATTTAAAATCTTCTTTATCAATGTCTTATAATGTAGATTAATATTACCATCTATCAAATATTATATGTCTTCATTATTAGTATTAAATTCTGTTTTAAGTTTATTCTTTTCTTTAAAATTAATTTCTCCTTGTTCATACAATTGTTAGACAATCTTATGAAAAGTAATACATCTACTTAAAGTTTGGCTGATTTACATCAAAATTAACCCTTTGATAAAATTATTATAAAATTATTATAAAATAATAGAGAAACAAAAGACAAACAGAAAATAAGAATATATATTGTTCTTATAAACTTAATCAAAATGTACTATCCCATTCTGCATCCTTAGCACTTGCTAAAACTTTCTTTTATCCTTAAGTATCCTTCTGAATTTAATCATGAACTGTAACTCCACGTTATTAGACACTTAAAATTTATGCAGGAGTCATAATTTTATCTTTTCCAGGTAATAATGGTGCTTTGATTGATTTACTTAATAATTTTTCCTATTTTAAAATTAATAATTACCCAATCAAAGTCTTTAAACCAAGCATGAGATTTTAAAGTAGTATATGATCCTCCAAGTCTGACTTCTGGAATCTTGTTCATTAATTATTCAATAAAAGGTTTAGCAGTTTTATCAGACATAAAATGAGGATAACTTATTGGCTTTTTTATAATTTCTTTATATATTTCAAATGGATCTTCAGCCTCTTCTCCAAAAGGTAAACCTCCACATATAAATTCATAAACACAAACTCCAACACTCCATAAATCTGCAAAATAACCATAACCTTTTCCTGAAATCACTTCTGGTGCCATATAATGAGGTGTTCCTATTATTGTAAAAGTCTTTGAAGATTCTATATTAAAGAATTGTTCTATTTCTTACATTAATTCTTAAATGATTTTGCAGTACCCATGTCTATCAATTTTAAAAATCCCTTATCATCTACCATTATATTTTCTGGTTTTATATCTCTATATACGATACTATGTTATGTATGTAAATATTCCATCTACAATAACATCTAAGAGGCATAGAATTAAGCATCATATTTACTTAATAATCCTATATTAATAATTAATTTAATTATATACCAATTACTCTTATTGCATCAAATAATTCCATTCCTGGAATATATTCAGTCAAAAAATATATATTTTCATTATCTTTATATGATCTATAAAATTTAAGAATAAAAGGATGATCCATCAATTCTAAAACTGCTTTCTCTTACTATATATGTTTTTGTATTCCAAATTATTACACATGAGCTCTTGTCACATATTTCAAGGCAAATAATGTATCTAATTCTTTAAATTTACATAAATAAACAGAACCAAATTAACCAGATCCTAATTTATTTAAATATATTAAATTTTTAAATGGTTAACTCTTGATCTACTCTTCAAATGCATTTGCTTTTTCTGATTATTATGCTTTTCCTTATTAAATTTTCTCTACACTTCCTTAAGCCTTTCTAAATTATTCATAATCAATAAAAGCTACATGTCCTTCCCCTTCTAATATATATGTTTTTTAATGAGTTGTTCCTTATAATTTATCTTACAATGTATCTTCAGCCAAAATTGATCCCTTTATAGCTTTTCCTTTATTTTCATCAACTACATCAACATCCAAAACAATTACTAATTATCCAACCTTATCTCCCTTAGTAATAATCTTAGAATTTGCTGCTAACTTTTTTATTTATACTCCCTCTAATAATTTATCCTAATAATTTGATTGAGTTTTCCCAAATAATTTAGAAGAATTCAATGCCCATTTACAAATATTTTTATAAATAATAGACTAGACTTAATCACCTAAAATCTATTAAATCATATCCTTTCCTAAAGCCAATACTTTTGTATCTTTTTATATAGATTTTATTGTCATCATTCTCACCTAATTTTCATGTTTTAATGCTGATTCACCAAAAGAATCACTAGGATTCAAAACTGCTATTTATTAATTATCCTTATTAAACACTCCACATTAACCCTCCACTATTATATAAAATGAACTAGCCTAATCTCCCTCATTCACTATAATCTCTCCTTAATTAAATTTCTACGATATTAACACACCAGCAACAGCATCCTTTTATTCTCTTGTTAATTAATCTATTTCATTGTTTCATATATTTACTAAAAAATTTTACACTCTCCAAATATTTTCTATTTTTTTCCTATTCACTTCTCATTATCGTTTCTATACTCTTTCTGAAAGTATGTCTATCTATTCCCCATAAGAAACACTCTTCTACAGCCATACATGTTGCTGATCTAGGAGCATTATATAACAAGGCTAATTCACCAAACCCAAATCCAGAGGTTAATTCTTTCCGTGGTACGTTATCCACCAAAACATTAATTTTTCCCTTCTCAAGTATAAAAAAAGAGCTTGCTCCATCTCCTTATTTAATTATTGATTCTCCAACTTTCAATCTGCAATAAAACATACTATGTGCTAATTGTGTTCTAAATTAACATATAATATAATTACAATTATGTATCACTCATAGAGCTAAATACAAAATGACTTTAAAAGCATTTTATGATGAATTTTATATCTTCAAGATTTTATGTTTTTTATTCTGGATGAAATGTTTCATATATTTATGCAATTCCACTCTCCTAAGTGGGCCTGATAGCAACATTACGTTTAGAGACTCTTCGAATCAAAGAAGCTTATGGTTATCCCTACTAATGTTACTGTTAAACACTTTGGTCAATTCCAAATTCCTAAACAGATGACTTTTAAATCCAGTGGTTTTGATCCATAAATTTAATATAAAAAAGTCAATGTTAATATCTATTTTATAAATTAGAAATTTTAATGCATTTAACAAAATCAGTTAATTTATTAATCCTATTTCAACCAATTCTGTCCTTCTTTTTTGGATTCCATTTATTCTTATAATATATATCTTCAATTTAAAACATAATTACAAAATTTATCTAGGATTAACTTTTAAATATTAAACTTCAATTATACACTTTATACTTCTTGGATATAATTTAATACATAATTGTCATATATTTTTTAAAATAAATATTAAATACATAATTAAATGAGATTTATCATTTGAATTGTTTACCTTTAAATTTACTATTATCTGGAACTATAGAACTAAATTTTAAACTTTATTTAACTAAAGTTGATTTTTTTTTAAACTTTAAATTCTTCTTGAAATCACCAAAATTACTTTATACATTTGCAACTACAGGTTTTAACTTTTTTATAGTTTCATTTCTTCTCATTCTCATAAAATTTAATATATATTGAAATGGATAATACATAAAGTTTCTCATTCTGTCTAATAATATTTTTTCCCATTAAAATATATCATTTTTAATAAACATAATGACATCTTTTGCGTTTTATTAATTAAAATAATAATCAAATTAAGATTGTGATTCAAATTCATCAAATTTTAATTAATTTAATGACCAATAGAGTGGTTCTAACTATTATAATGCTTTTCGAACAATAGTATCATTTTAATTTTATTCTAAATTTGTTTGTAATTAATGATATAAATTTGTAATATTTTCTTACATATCATCATTAAAATTTTAAGTAGCTTATGCTATTTTTTCTAACTCTTTTTTATAATCAACAATATCATCATTTTATTTGTGTGTTGATTAATCACTTTCATCATCATCATCATCATCATCATCTTCTGAATTATCACTTTCTTTAATCTCATCAATAAATGGAATCTCAATTTTATTTTTTGGAGAATTACCTTTACTAAAACCCAATGATATTCCTCCTGATAAAATTGATTATTTTCTTATCTAAAGAGCTTAATTTAAATTTTATCTAGTATCAATTTTATTATGAGATTATAAATCAGCTACTATTCTACTTTTTCTTGATTATTTTATATGTTATGCCTCAAAAATAGGTGAATTCTATGGAATCTTAAATCCAGGAGATTATGCATCATCAATAGATGAATTTGAATCTGATCCCCATTCTACATTCAATTAAACTTTAGATTATATTGAAATAATCTATTATTTCTCACTTTAAAACGCTGTTGCAAATTATTATAAAATATCTTTCATAGATCTTGTATGTCTCCAATCTTATTTAAAATTTTCTTATCTTTTAAAAGATTTATTAGCTTATTGATTTTCAACCATACAATATCTTTTTATCACAGCTTCTCTATTTGGTACGAATAGAACTTAAGTACATCTATTTAATGAATGTCTAAAATTTTAACAAGCTGGACAAAATTATCCATTTTCTAAAATAGGAGGCATATAACTTAAATTTAAGTTTTCTTTTAATTAACAATATTTTTAAAAATCATCAGGATAATCTTTTAATGTTTTAATAAAATCTGATTTAGATAATATCAATAGACTCGTATATCCAATAGATTTAAAAAGATCCATCTACGGATTATTAATAATAAAATCATTTACACAAAAAAATTAACCTTAATTGATGACAGCATTCGTTTTAAATTTTTATTTATTTTCTGGATTCTAATAAACAATAAGTCCTTATTCAACAAAACATAGATGTTATTAATTATCAAATTCAGTTGAAAATGCAACCTAAGGAGGAATAATCTTTCTTTTAATAGATTTAAATAAAGCATTTCGTAATTCTTCACTAAAATTTTTTTTTAAAAAGTCTGATTTATCTATATATACTTTATGAGCCTATTTATTTAATTCTTCTTTTAATTCATCTGATAATTATTCCAATAATTTTTGTTCCATTTCTAGATCAACTTCATCATCTTCTTTCCATCTGAATGTTAAATATTCTTTTACTCTAATTTAAATGATAAACAATTATAATACTAATGTTATAAATTAAAAGGTATCTTTCTTTAATTCATATATTTATTTATAACTCTCATTTTTCGATTCCTCTCTACTTGATTTTAAGTTATATCATCAATAATACTGCCAATAAAATTTACACTAAGAGAAACCCATAAACCTAATTGATTTATTATAAAATTACATGCTCCCAAAACAAATAACATTGTAATAATTTTTTCAATAGCATTTTTTGGTACCATATCACCATAACCAATAGTTAACATAGTTACAACAGCAAAGTAAAGTGCTTATAAATATTACTCTTCCCAATTCTTTCCTTCTAAATCATTAAATCTGATCCATGAATCTTCAAGACTTATACTACTGAAATAAAACCATATGCAACTAAATAAATGCAAAATATAGAGAAGGGTTAATATAAATTTTAATAATCCAAAAATACCTCTTTATGGTCTTGTTAAATATGAAATTTAATCACTTTTAGCAGATGTTTCATAAACATATTTATTTTAGGCTAAAATTAATAATAAAAATAAATTGGCTTTAGTTTTCATATCAGGTATAATCATAAATATGATTAATATCAAAGAAGTTGAAAAATCAGTAAGAAACTCCTTTTTTAACTGATGTATAACCAATTCCCATTTATCTTTAATTGCTATCCCATTTCTATATGTAAGAGTATTTAATCTTATTAGAAAATCTAATTATAGAATTATGAGGATAACATAAGTCAATTAAATAAGATTATTAAAGAGTATTTCAGGTTTAAAAGCTATTTCTAGAGGAACTAAAACTAAAAGAATTAATCTAAAAAAGGATGTAAAGATATCCCAATACATTTTAAATATTGATTCTGGTTAAATGATAGGAATCTTATGGATTATTGCATTTAGACAATTCAATATTGGTTTTCTCAATTTTTTAAAATTTTCCTTTACTTATTCAAAAGTTGAGGTATCTCTCCTTACCCTATCTAAATCTAAAAGAGTTTTCATTCTCTTTAGATTAAATCCAGCTTAACTAACACGTTTAGAATAAGTAAATAAATTTTGCCTAAAAGAGAATAAATGAATTTTATACACATCAGAAGCTTTGTCTCCAATCAAATTAAAATGAGCCTCGCTTAGACTTCCCAATCTTTTACGATTAATGGATAGCTTTTCTACAAATCGTCCAATGTAAAATAAAAACATAAAACTTGGTTATGCATTTGTTTAACTTAATTATGCATTTCCTTAACTTCTTCTACTTGAATCTCGAGTTTATAAAACTGCTACTTTAGGTGTTTACATATTTGAAGCCAGAATGTTCTCTTCAGAATTTGAATTAAGAGAATTTGGACTATGTAAATATTTAGCTTCTAAACTTCTGGGACTCAATGTTCTACTAGCAACTTATGGAAACAATGAATATTCTTTTTTTGTATCTCGCAAACATTGTCCTAAATATTATTATTCAAAGTCTTCATTCTACACAGCCTTTAATTCTATATCTTATTCTAAATCAAAACCATTTTATAGATTAAACATATAATAAATAATGCAGTTTCTTAAAAACAAACATTATTAATTTTACAATTATATTCAGATTCTTTCTATTTTATTTTTTTAAGAAATTCATTATAATCAATACAAAACTTATATAAGAATATTTAAAAAGAATACTCTTTCTATAATATTTATGATACAATAGATTTAGAAAATTACCAAGTTAATTCTAAGTAAAATCAAATTTTACCTAAATTCAATTACGATAAATTATACAAAAATGAAATAAAACCTAGGATTTCTAAAAATAACCCATTTTTATATCAAATAATTAAAATAAATAAAATTTTGCCATAAATACTGAATTCACTTTGAAATAAAATTAGGTTAGATAAAAATTGGATGGATAAAGAAAAAAATAAATTTTAATGAATTTATTTTAAAAAATGTTGCAAGTTCATTTTTAAGATTAAACTATAATATATTTTGTATGATTATTGCTTTATATTCTCGAAAACTTAATATTGAATAGAAGATTATTAAATTATTAATAAAATATATATTATCCGTTAGATTAATGAATTCTCCAAGAGCAGAAACCCTTGATTAAGAATTGAGTGAAGCAATTAATAAAATATATAATGGTTGCTAGAAAATCAATGCAAAACATCTAAAGATAAGAATTTTGTAATGGTTGGATAAAGTGAGAACTCCAACACATAATTTTATTTGGAAATAGAATTCTTTACTTTATGCACGTGTTCTTTTAGAAATGACTCTAGAACAACAATTAGATAAGCCATTTCGAGGTGTCCCTCCAGATGGTCCATTACCACGTTTGGATAAATTTGATGTCGTAATATGATCAATCTTATTCCAAAAGCCTTAACATATATGGTAGAAAATCAAATAAATATCTAACCAATAGCCTATGTCCCCTAGAAAACCTTTAGGCACGCTTACCAATAGAAATTTTACTCCAAAATTAAAAACTGAACCAATTCAATACAAATCTAATAAATTCCATAATAGCTAAAAGTCTTAAAAATGGGATTAGATCAAAGAAACACTAGAAGGAGCAAATAAAAACATGAGAGAATTTAAGTTATTCTTAGAAAACATCTAAAATGAAAAACTATTGATGTGATTATTATTAATAATTACTTATTGTTATACAATTAGACACTTATTTCATGAAAATAATTAAAAAATTAAACTAAATTGTTGAAACCATTTTTAAGTGCATATACTAAATTTTAACTCGATTTATAAGTGTATAATGACAAAAGAAATTAGATTACATTTGTTTATAAATTAATATTATATTTTAACAACTTTTTCAAAGTGAATGCCTCCATTTACACCAGATGCGCGTAATTTGGGTGGTAGGAATATGATATCTTAATAAATTTGGAATCACTTATAATAGTTAAAGGAAATATCATAATAAATCCCTCAGATTTTAATTTCACCACGTAAACTTCCGAATTCGCCTAAACAAAGTATCGAACCTATAAATTTCAAGAGAGTCAATAGAAAATAAGATTATTTACTCTATCCAACATATTTATTTAGACGTAAAACAGTTTCAGAAAGCTTTACATCATTGAGTCCTAAAAACATTCGAGATGAAACATAATTACTATTTTAAGAACCACTTTTAAGAAGATAGAAAAATTTGAAATCTCCATAGAAGATTTTTCCATTTAGCACAATTTAATTGGGAGCCTTATATAAAATAAAAGCTAATGATATAAAAATGAATAAAAAGAATGATTAAATGTGAGTTTATTAATCAATATAACTTTTAGACTTTGGAGTTAAGTAGAGATGATAGTGAAAGATTTCAACACCATATATGAAGAGTTATTGAATGAAATCTAATAAGTAATTATAGAATTTGGAATATACAGTGCATGTGATTATCAAATTTTGATTCAGATGATTTAAAGATTGAAACCCCAAGTACCTAAAATGGATTTACTAAATATTTTTAATGAATTGATTATTAAGCAATAATTATAACTGTCTTGAAAAATTTAATTAATGGGAACATGTTAATACAATAATTGCAAGTCTAATATAGAAATTTGCACTCTCAACACAACAGTTAACATTATTGATTAATTAAATAATGATTTCATGGTTGTACATGAAGATTATGATCATCCACTCTATGGTTAAGTGAATATACTGGAATATAAAGAGCCCAAATAATATGATTTTAAATTAGTACATAAACTTCTTACCTTTACAGAAAAAGAAGACTTTTAATAGGCTTTACAATATTATGAATCTAAATTTTATGGGTTTAATCATCCAAATCTTCTCATTATACATGGTATCAACTATTCGAATTAATTTAAGCAATGTAGTACAAGTAAATCGATTAATTTTTTACAACAGAATACAAATTATCACTTTTCTTAGATTATTATGAAACTACCCTTGCTTAAGAATTAATCTATAGAAAGAAAATCTACTTCGAAGAAACAGAGATTTTATTCTTTCTAGACTCACTTATAGGAAGTTAAGCGTTTCTCTAATCTAAAGGTTATGCTTTAACATCTTTGAAATTTGATAAAGTATATCTCTCCAACCTATTAAATGGAGCAATTGGACTTAAAATTTAGAGTCCACTTTTCAAAAATTAAGAAGAAAATCAATTCTCTGAATTATTCACTAAAATTATGAATGGAGAAGAAGTACTATTACATTAATATCCTTACATAACTCCAGAATAATGGTTAATGATACAAAACAAATAATTAGAACCATATAATGAATATAAAAGCAATGTTTTTATTTTAGGTTTAGTAATATAATAAAATATATTTTTAGATGACTCTTGAACTCTGTTCAGCAAAATAAAGTATTACTCTTTATTAGGATTATATGATTGATCAAAATATATTGATAGAATAAATAAATAAAATTAATGATAGATATGGTGAAGCTTTGCCTTTGATTTTAGAAGCTATGTTACATTATGATCCAAAAGATCGTCGTGATTTTCTTTAGTTAAATGAATTACTTGATGCATCTTAATTAAAAGGAAAGAGATTGGCTTAAATTTGGACTTCGGATGATTATCAATATAGTTTAACTGAAAAAAAGGTATATTTATAAATATATAATTAAAATTAGGTTCATTTTTCAACTAAATAACATTCTCTAATACATCCTGAAGTTTAATCTTAATTATCGAATTAATCTCTATTATAAAAAGGATCGCATTTATCAATTCGTTAAGTGATATCAAAAAATTCAAAAGAATCAAGAGCATCTAGTGTAATTACAATAAATATATTTAGTCATTTATTTAAAAAAAAGAATCATATTCTCCTCAGATATAAAAGAAGAATTTATTTAAGAAATTTGAGACTGAATAAGCTTCAAAAGGAGGAAGTAAAAAATTAATTACACAGGATGGATTTGGAGTAGAAACAACTCCAAATGGACTAACTTATGAAGGTTTTTTTAATGCTGGCAAGAAATAGGGAATGGGTAAATTAATAAATGATGACAATGAAGTAATCTATGAAGGATATTTTCATGAGAATTAGTAAATTTAATATAAATTATCAGAAAAGATTTCATCGTAGTGGAATATTAAAAAACTAATAAGCTTAAAGTTATTTAGAAGCCTTTAATTATAAAGATTTTAATTAATTAGGTGACAAATGGGCTAGATATGATGGTGATTTTAATTTTGGTTAATAAGAAGGATATGGATAATTAGTATTAACAAATGCAGAAAGATTTACAGGTTTATTTAAAAATGGTAAGATTCATGGTGCTGGTGTATTTTAAACTTTAGAAGGTAAATAAATTAAGGGAGTATGGATTAATAACATTTTTTAAGAATCATGAATAAATATAGAAAATAATTATATAAATAAATATAAAAGTAGTTTATTTGTATCATGGATCTGGATTAAACATTTTTGCATACACATTTTATTCTTTTTATTACATAGCTCCTCTACGATGAGGTGTTTTTATTTATACTTATGTACTATTCTATGATTGAAAATCAATTAGTTTAGATAATTTAAATATTAATTACAATTCAGGACCTAATTTTTCAATTAATTATTTGCTAACATTATTTGTTTTATTTTAGACATCATCCTCACTTTATCTAAGAACATCATCATATGACTAAAAAAATATACATTTAAATATATTACATTATAAATTTTGGCATAAAATAAATAATTATCTTAATCACCACTTCTTCTTTTTGTTTTAAATAATTCTTTGCCAATTTCTTCATCTTAATCTCTTTCCTTATTTAAATTTAATTATAATATATCTCTTGTAGGTTGTGCAGACTTATCATCTAAAGTAATTTACGGTTTTGGAGTAAAACCAAACATCAATTATTAATGATATGATAATACTACTTCCTTTAATTTAATCATTTCATTCAAATTTTAAACTATATTATAAATATCTATTTGTTCAGCAACTTATTACATTCCTTTATTTATTAATTTTATTCTAGGCTATTTCGAAAAAAATTTATTGCAACTAATTACATTCATCAAAATTTTAAAAGATAAATAAATTGGTTTTGCTCTACATATTATTGATTTAACTTATTTCTCAAAATATTCTAAACCTGATTTGCAATTCAATTATATTGCTAAAATTTGTTGATCTTTAATAATTCTAAAACTCTCTTTCTTTTATTGAGTTTATGGATTATTTTATTTAAAAACTGATAAATATTAAACTACTGCTTTGAATCTTTTGACGCCATTTAACTTTTTTATTTCTTAATTATTTTCTTTCTGATTTATCAAAGTTTAATGAACTGTTTAAGGTTTATCCTCATCATCAGAATTATTCACTGATGAACCAGGTTCTCTTTATTAACGCTATTATGATTATAAGGCCAAATTTATTAATTCAAGTTTCTCTTATTATTATCTTAATTTTTCAGTATTATCAAAAGAAAATTCATATACTCTATTTGCTAATTCAATCATCACTTTAAATAATTATAAATTAATACTTTATAATTTATTGTATAATGTTACAACTATTCCAACAAAAAAAAATAAAATTTATTGAATTCCTCCTAAATTTGATAACATTTCATCAAACTTCATATAATTTCTTTTAATTGTAGTTTTAAATGGACTTCTTTTAAAATTAATCTAAACATATTAATCAGAATTTCCAATTTCAGAAATAACTTTGGTTTCTAACTATTCAAATGCAAATACTTAACTTACAACAGTTTCACTAATTATATTAATAATAAAAATTACCCAAATGGCATCAAACTATTATCTTAAATTATGTTATAGTGTTTAAGATAAACATCAATTGTTCTACCAATTTCATTTGGAATGAATGTATACTATATTGAATCATCTAAATATAGTTGCCTATAATTATTATCTGATTTGTATGGATTTATTATTGAATTAATGTTATAGATTTAAAATTTAAAACTCCCATGTTTTGCCAAATATTCATTTAATTATTCTTAATTTGCGCATTCATATCCATTATTTAATGCTTCTTATGGATTACATTTACTTATAATTATTTATAAATACAAAAACTCCTCACCTAGATGTTTATAACTATATTTTACTTATGTGTGTACCTCCCAACTAGAAATTAGCTTCTTCCCTAATATAATCATTTCATTTACACTGGGCATAGATAATCTGATAAAGACGAGGAATTAAAGTACAATTAAGAAAAATCACTTCCTTCTTCTTTAAAGTATTTTTGAAATCGATATTCCGTACAACCAACTAATCGAATTTCCTTAGATATTGATACTTAAGAACCATTCTGATATCGATAATTATATCTAACAATTTAAAGAACTTCTTATACTTCTAAATAAGAGACATGTTGAAAAAAGGATTCTTAATAAAGTTTTCTTACTATATTGCCATAGCGAATAAAAATTATTTATCTGTTATTGTAGTATCTGATATTTTTGGATCATACTCAGTTATTGTGACTGCGTTCAATTATTCTTTATTGAGAAACGAATTAAAGCTCGATGAAAACTGCCATATCATTACTCCAATCACAATAATTGACATTAAACCACCCAAACCTGACCTATATGTAGATTATTAGTTCATTCTCAAAGTGATTTAGTATCCAAATATGTCAACTCTCCTTAATTCTAAATTAATTTAATTATCATACCTTTAAGAAATTTTTCCATGTATTATAAATATTATTAAGCATATTAAATTTATGTTCATTAAAATCAAAGAAATAAACGCATTTATTTAGACAGTCATAATGCATTAATTTATATATACATATTTTATATAATAAAAAAAATTTAAATTGAATATTTTCTTTGATGACAAATCAGCAATAAAATAATCAAATATTCAAAAAGCACTTAAACTATAGGAATAGGCTAGAACATTATTTCGTAAGTTTTTTTTCTTCTAAAATTTGGATACACACTAAAAGAAACATCAAGATTTAATTGAGCTTATAAAATTATAATTATAAACAATTAATTGAACTTATTAGATAATAATAATTAAAAATGAATATTAAATCATATATTTCATAATTAATAAGACTATCGCATTTTATATCAAAAACATAAATTTAAAATATACATAATGAAAAAAAGATATCAATAAAATAATCAAATACATCTCAACTTTTTACCATTCATATATTAATGATTAAATATTTCTAGGTCATTCATAATTTTTAAATGATCACTAAAGTACTTTGAGTCTTATTATATTTATTACTTAATTGTCTAAAACTTATTACTGCGAACCATAAAATTAATTTCATCAACTAATTAATTCCTATGCAAAGATATTAGTTTCAAATCTTATAATAAAATATCTTCCCATAATATAGTTGCTGCTGGTTTAACATAATCATAATGAATACTTGGTAAATATGTAAAGGTTACTTTATTTTCATTTTCTTATAATTTGATATTGAATTAATATTTTTTTGATAAATGTTCTCGTATTTATGGACAATAAAAAAATTATCCTTAAAGAGTAGTACTTTTAATAGATTATTACAATTTTCCATCTTCATAATAGATAAATTCAAAAATATATGGAAATGGTTATTCTTAAGCTAAAATATCAATTAGAAAAATCTTAACAAGGGAAGGTTTGGCTAAAAATGAATATTAAGATTTATCATATGAGGTTTATTAGAATTAAAAGTGCTTTTCCTTTTTCAATAAGAAATCAAATTTAACTAAAGGTAAAACAGTCTTAGTGAAATCTTCATTTGATAATTTAATTTCTAAATGTCTAATACAACATGCTATTATGATATCTTTTTATTATTTTTAAAATTATAGATTTGAAACTTTATCTATGTCACCATCATATTTATTAACATATTCTTAATAGAGTTCATAAATTTCAAGTTTGTTTTAAATAAATCTAAGATCATTGAATATGATTCTAATTTTATTTTTGTATATTTAAAAATTATTGGCAAGAAATTTCAATTAAGATTCAATGAAATAATCTTCCTTTGTATCTGAAAAGAGTCTTTCCTTTTTATCGCTCATAAATTAATCATATTCTTCTTAAAGATATTAAGGTATATTTGATTGCATTTCAAAAGGAATAATTTGATTTTATTCACACCATTATTTAACAGCTGGTATTCTATAAACAAATCTTAAGAATGTTATTCTTTATCTTAATCTAATAACATTACTATGATCTTTATCTTATTTTAATTTATCCAATCTTCCTGTAATTTTAGTATAATATAACATTTCCGATAATTCAATCTGTTTTACCCAACAATATGATAATAAGATCCTCTATAAATAATATAAACCATTTGCTTTATTAGGTGATAATTTGATAGTTTCAAGTCCATTACAAAATTCTTGTAATTTTTATAAGATTTTCGTAGATTATTATGTAAACTTATCATTCTTTTCAAACTTCTCTCCTTGTTTATCTAATAATTTAATTAATTAAGTCTTTTTCAATCTAAAAAAGATTTCATTTAATTCATTCTTCAACTCTTCTCTCTATTACCAAATGATTGTCAATAATTAATGTAGAATTTCTTTAAGTTTACATTCTTAAGGTAATTCTTTATTCCATTAATTTTCTTTGATAGCATATTACATAAGATACCAATTAATACCATCCAATAAAGCATCTTCAACCATTAAAGTTAATTTATATTATTTGTCTCTCACATTTTAACTTTTTATAAAATTAATAATAAATGGTATTCCTTTTGATATTCTAATAATACAGAGTAACTTCTTTTTTACTTCTATAAGAATTTCTCTATTCTTTTCAACTTCTTCATCTTCTTTAACTTTATAGTATTTAATTCTTTCTTATAATTATGAACGAGGCTCTGTTTTTTTTTTAATTTTCAAACATATTCTCTAAGCTTTACTATAAAAAGAATTAATTAATTCTTTAGTTTCTTAGAATTCAGGTGAAGTTTATAAGATTTCATTTTATTATTCACATTATTTTTTAAGTTCATCAAAGATTTAAGTAGTAAACAATTCAGTATTTGTTATAGCTAATTTTTGATTCTAAAACCAAGTTTATATTTGTTATAAATTATGTGCTCTTTCATTCGTTGATAATTCATGAAATGAGGTAGATTCATCTTCGTCCATATAGTTTCTATTAATAATTCAATGAAAATCATTATGTACCAATTTTTTACATTTATAATCCCAATGAATTCAATGATAATTATAATTTGACATTTAATAATTTTATATATGAAAATGATAATTGTTTGTTTAATATTATTATCATAATGTACATTTGGTAAAATTGATCAATGTTTAGAAAATTCAAATTACTTGGATTGTATATCAAGTGAATAAATTTATTGTAAATATTTTTAATTTAATTTAGGTATTTGGGATTATGTATTTGAATAATGTAAAGAAAGTGATAATTATTTAATTGGATGTAGTATTTATATAAATAAAATTGGTTGCATTTCTTAACTTGGATCAAGTATTACAAAAGTTGTATATTGTATAAACTTTATTAAAATAAGGCAAGTTCGATGAAAATTGTTAATAAATAATTGATTTGGAAAATGAATAATGTTCAAATAATTTAAATAGATATGGATGTTTAGCAATACGTAATCCTTTTTCAATTTGCAAATGGGATAATCATAAATGTTTTACTGTGACAGGAGAGGATATTAAGAATATATAATAAAATTTTAATACTGCATATTACAGTAGTAATGCTTGTCAATATATAACAAATTATTTAATAATTCATCATACTGTTTTATGGGAATTATTATCATATGAACCAGATTTGGAGAAAGAGGCAAATGAATTTATTTTGAAATCAACAAAAAATGTAGATTAAGATTTAAATTAATTATAAAATAGTTATTCAAGAAATGATGTATTTAAATAATTTGAATTTGGAAATTAATATTAGATAGAGAGTAATAGATATCGTTTAGGATGCAATGCAATAGATATAAGAGATGATGAGGATTTTAATATTATTATAAAGGATTAATATGATACTTTCGGAGTCAATCATCTTTATTGTAAATATTTAGAATTGAAGAGAAATAATTTAATATTTATAAATGGAAGATGTTAAGAAGTGAATCCAGAAATATTAATTACAACTTAATTCATTGATGATAATAAGATATAGTGTAAATAATTAAGTAATAGATTATGTTCAACATATAATTCTAAATTCCGAAAATGTTTTATTCCAAAAATGATTGATGAATTTACTTGTATAGAAGGAGAATCAAAAATAGATTTGGATTCTAGTTGTTTAAAATAACATACATTAGAACCATATTATAGATGTTAACAAATAAAATATTGTTATTTTGATATAAAAAAATAGTTCTGTTCAGATTTTTGTTATTATCGAAAGAATAAAGAAGATTGTTTATCTAGTGGAAATTGTTTATGGTCAGGAGTAGATGAAATTGAACATAATGATTTATTATCATGTCTACCTTTATATAGATGTAATCAATTAGGATTAGATATATATTATTGTAAATATATGCAAGATTATTGTGATTGGTAAAATCATAAATGTTATTAGATGAATGAAGAATATGTATTCTCATTAACATGTGATTAAGCATTTAATAAATATGTTTGTTTAAATATTATAAAATCAGATCAATTATGTATTTGGTATAATGATAATTGTATCAATTTTATTGATTATGAATTGCATTACTTATTTAATTCAATCCCAATCATTTATAAGATGAATAGAAATATGTGTATAAATTTTAAAAAGGATAATTGTATTATTTAAATTTAAACTTAGTTATATTTGATCCTATCAATTATTCATGCATTTATTAAACCAAACTATAAATTAATTGTAATAATAGAATGGTTAACAAATATCATTGTTACAATATTCTTAATGATCTATGTAAATGGGATGATTATACCAATCAATGTGTCTCTATCACAAATATTGATTCCCACTATTGTAATGATCTAAAGAATGTATCCTTTAGAGTTTGTCTCTATGCTAAAGTAAGTTACTCTTAAAATAATTGTTTATATAATTGGGATTTATTTTCTTGTTATGAAGGATCTAATTAAATTAATCTTATATAATCAGAGACTGATTGTTATAATATGAATGTTTCTAAATAATTCAGATAATGGAATCAAGGAAAATGTCTAGAATTAACCTTATCAGAAGTTAATAGACTTTAATGTATTTCATGGAGAAATGTTAATCGAAATGTTTGCATTATGAATATATTCTACAATTAACCATGTATTTATGATGACAATTTAAAGTTATGTTACAATGATATCATTATTGATAATTGTTCATCTAATTTGAATCGATTTGCATGTTAACAATCTACTTAAAAATGCTATTATGATATTCTTAATGATTAATGCAAAGAGGCTAGTTCACAAATATTAGTTGAATTAAGTTGCAATGCCTAAATATCTAGATAGGCATGTCTTAATATAGAGACTCACAATCAAAAATGTATGTGGGATACTTACTAATTTGAATGTAGATCTTATGATCAAATTTTTTAATATTGTGATTAATTTTAACTTAATCGACAGGCATGTACATCTTAAAAAGCTTCAACATCTATTTAGTATCATTAATACAACTATTGTTAATTCAATGAAAGTAAAATGAATTGTGATGTAAACAATGATAGCATTCCTGATTGTGGTACTAATCTCTCAATTAATATACATAGATGTATACAATATACAACTGGAACTTGTTTTTTTGATTAGAACAAATGTTTAGAAGTATCAAATACTTCAAGCAGATTAGATTAATTATACTTAAATGAACTTTTGTGTGAATAAGCAAATTCTGGTGCTTGTTCGTAAATTACAAATCCTTCTTAAGGATGCAAATTCCTTAACTTTTAATAATTTGACTATATAGATGCAAAGTGTGTTAATTAAGATTTTAATAAATCTACTTGTTCTAAGAGTTCTATAAGTTCTTCAACAAATAAAGTTATTTGCAGCAAAGCAACAGATAATTGTTACTTTTCTTCAACTAAGTGTTAAGCCTACACATCAACTTCTCCTGCTTATTGTAATACACCATCTATTTCATTAACAGGTTGTGTATCAGTAACAGTTGGTAAGTGTATTTTTTATCAAGATTAATGTTAATATTTTACAGATCATGCTACAGCTGCATGTGAATTAAGAAATTATTAAGCATGTGTTACTAGCAATTATTTAAAATGTGTATATAATACAACTTCAAAGAAATGTGCATCATCAAGTTCAGATTGCTCTAAAAGAATAGATTCAAATTTATTCTATTCTTGGTCTACTTGCTCTATGAGTTCATAAGATTGTTATGGATTCAACTCTTAATGTATTATTGGTAAAATCAATGATGTACCATGTGATCTTCCTGGATTATCTTAAAGTATTTGTAAATCTTTAAATATTTACTGTGAATTCTTTAATGGATATTGTTAATTTTAAATTAATAGATAATGTAATGAAATTATGGATCAAGATGAATGTGTAAATAATAAAATTAAAGATTAATATTGTGTATATCACAATAATTTATGTTTTAATATAACTAATATTGACCTCCATAAATGTAATCAATTTGATTATACTTCATTTCATTTTTGCAAAAGATATCCTCATTGTTCTTATGATTTTACTAAAAATATATGCTACAGTGGAGATATTCTTAAATCAACAAATCCGGATTGTTTAGATGATAATTCTAATGATATTATGTATTAATATCATAATAATGAATGTATTTAAATCTAATAAAACATACCAAATTGTCTTAATATCTAAAATATTTAAATCAATTATAATCTGTGTTAAACAATTAGTAATTAAGATAATAACAATTGTGCATATGATTTTAAAACTCATCTTTGTAAACTTACATACTATTCTCATTTTTAAAATTGCTCTGAAATAACTACTGAAATTCAATGTATATTTGCTAATTTATTATGTTATGCTAATTATGCTAATTCCATTTATTAATATTGTTCATCTTCATAAATATTAACTACAAATAAAATTAATCGATATGGTTGTATAAAAAATTAAAGTGGAAATTATTTATTTAATAATGATGATTGGACATGTCCTACAGTTTCACTTACAACAGATAATTTAAAATTATTATAATATTCAAATTAATTGAATTAAAAAGCATGCTTTGTTCATGGATCAGTCTATTCTCCAAATTTATATTTGAAATGGTAAAATGATTAATGTGTTAAATTAACTTTTAAGGAAGCAATGAATTTATCTTCATGTACTAATCTTAATAAAAGTGCTTGTTTAGCTGTATCCAAATTAAATTGTTAATGGAATATCACTGATTACATCTGTTTAGAGGATAAAACTACAAATTTTGTAGTTACTTAATGTGAAGCTTAAGTGATTTCTAATACAAATTTACTCAATTCTCAAGGTTTATGTTCCTAAATCTCATAAAGTGGTTTAAAATGTATCTAAAAATCAACTTATTAAGGATGTGAATCATTGTCTACTACTAAATATAAATCTCTATTTAAATGTACAGGTTTAGGATTGAATAGAGAAGCTTGTTTAATGGAAACTAAACTAACTTATTGTTATTGGAGAGATGGACTTTGTGATAATGCCAATTTCTAATTATAAAAATGTGATGATGATGTATCAGAATATACATGTAAAAATATTACAACTTAAATTTGTTAATGGATTAATTCAAAATGTTCAATAAAAATTGAAGATTTCTCTTTTTGTGAACTTTCAAATGGTTATATTTCCTTTTGTTTAAACAATGAAAATTTAAAATGTAAATACAATCAATAAATTCATTAATGTGAAAACTTTACATATACTCCATTAGAATGTGATAATACTTATAGTAAATTTGCTTGTCGTAATGTTATTAATTAAACATGCTAATGGAATAATAATTAATGTCAAGAATTAATACATATAACATCATGTAATTCTATATATAATAAATAATCTTGTTTATTGAATGAATAATTCAGTTGTATATGGGATAGTACTAAAGGTTGCCTATAATTTGTTTCTGATTAAAAATTTCATTATTTAAATTTACCAGCTACAGCCAACAAATCTGTATGCATCAATTACTCAATTTAAGAAACTACATATACATAATTCAAATGCACAAACATCCTCAATTATGATCAAATTAAAGATAAAACTTCAATCAATCTTGGTTCTCCAATAATCAATAATCAATGTCAGAATTAAATTACTTTATCAGATTGTCTCTAAGTACATATGCCAAAAACTTATTGTTAGTGGATTAATAATTAATGCATTGAAATCAATGATGATTAAATATTTTCAATTCTAACTTGTGATTCTGACATCAATATTTGGACTTGCCTTAAAATTAATAACCCATCTGAAAATTGTAAATGGTCTAATTAAAAGTGCTTATATTTTCAAAAAGATGATAAAGATCTTTTTAACATTAATATTAATGTTTGTATGAATTTTACTTAGAATATGGTGTATTTTAATCATTCTTGTTTAACATAAGATGATATAAATTGTAATTCTTTAGGAATTAGTAAATTTACATGTATAAATAATTAAAAGTATGCTTGTCAATATATCAACAATTAATGTATAAATTTTTAAATAACTAAAAAATACACATAATGTAATGAAATTAATGATGTTTCTATAAAAGCTTGTTAATTAATTCCTTAATTAAAATGTTAATATGGTAATAGAAATAACTGTGTAAATTACAGTGATAGTACATAATTAGAAGGTATATCTAAGTATGCTTGTTTAAATAAAAATGGTTTTTATTATTGGCATAATAATTAATGTAAATAAATCGATATAAAAATTGTATGTGATGATGATCTATAAGTTACTAGATAATCATGTGTATTAATAATGGATAAATTGTGTCTTTATAACATTACAAATTATACTTGTACTAGTATTTATAATCCTCATTAATTGAATTGTTCAACTAGTGGATTAAACAAAAAAGGATGTATGTTAGTTTTATATGAACCTTGTATATTTAAAGATAATTAATGTTAATTAATGAATAATTATAATGAATCATATATGACTTTAAGAAATGTAAATGAACTGACATGTAGAATGTTAGTTAATGATTATGTTGAATATAATTAAATTGAAAATAGATGTACTTATTAATTAACTAATACTAAATGCGGCAATTTAAATATTAATGCATGTAAATAATTAACATATTGTGTATGGAATTCTGATTATTAGAAATGTGGTTGTAATGATTCACCTTAAATTTGTTACAATTTAGGTAAAAATGAATGTTAGTAATAAAGTTTGTGTCAATTTTAAAAAAATATGTGTTTATTGAAATAATGTCATCACTTATTAGAAAATGATTGTTCAGGATAAAGTCTGAACAATTTAAAGTGTTATTTAAATATATTTAAATAATGTACTTAAGCAAGTAAATGTGAAGATATTATTGATTCGCAAGATTGTTAAAATATATATTTCAATGGAACTGCTTGTTTATAGATACCTAATACAAGTTTATGTTATTCATTTAATAATTTTGAATTAATATGTAAATATTCAGCATAATGTCTAAATTAATATTGCATTTACGATGGAATGTGTAGATTGAAATAATGTTCAGATATATAGAATTAATAAGAATGTGAATTTACAAAGAATTGTGCTTTTATCAATACAAGTTGTTAATCTATAAAATCTTGTTATTAAGTATATGATCCAATAATATGTAATTAACTGACAATTAACAATTATAAATGCAATTGGTAATAATAAAATCTACTTGATAATACTAAAATATGTACATCAAAACCATGTGAGATGTTAGGAACATCTTAATCCTTATGTCATGGCAATGAAATAAATAATTATTCTTGTGTCTTAAGGAATTATAAATGTGTTTAATGTGAATCTATAAAAGAATCTTGTGAATGTAATTCATATAAAGGAATATGCTATTATACTAATAATCTTTGTTCCTCACATTTGTGTAATGATTTGATGACAACTGAAATTTGTTAACAGTCACCTAAATGTTAATGGAGTTTATCATTAAATTAATGCACATTATTATGCAAATTCAATTATGAAAAAGAACTATGTTAAACAAGAATTAATGAATGTCATTGGAATTAGTATATTAGATTCTGTGAAGATGGTCCTCAATAAACACCGAAATTATACAATTCAACAAAATAAAATTCAAATTATTATTCCCATTTACTACTTACATTTTTAATCATATTAATTTTATGAATATTTATTTTATTTAATATTTAATTTATAAATGGATTTTATTTAATTAATAATCATTAAATTACTTACCATTCATCTTATTCATGTTTTATTATGTCTTCACAAGTAATAAATTCAGTCTAACCATCTTTTATTGATTCTGGAGATTTAAGGAATGCTTCAATCAAGCTTGTTAAATCTGAAAAATAATCAATCACCTTTTACTTTATTTCTTTTCCATCTCTTATTCTTCATTTACTGTTAACAATACATCATTTATTGCTGCAGATACTGTTTCATTAAAATTAATCAAAAAATTTGTTATATCTTAAAACACTTCTGCACATCCTTATAATTATTACACCTAATCACATTTCTCCAAATATGTTGATACTTTTCCTAAAGCTAGAGAACCAATTACTCCACCAAACTCATAATTATAAATATCGATACTAGCCATTTTAATGAAACATTTGGAATTATAACATTCCATGGTAATGCAGACTTTCCAATTAAGGCATGATAAATTACTAAGGCTGCACCATATGATAAATTTGATTCTGATAATCCATTTGAATATAAAAACTTTCCAAATTTATCTGCCCCTTATGCTAACATTCTAATTAATATATGTTTTGAATATGTCTAATAACATATTAATTATTAATTTATATACCTTATAATCTAAATCATCTGATGGAGATAGAATTCCTTTAATTTCAGCTGTCAATTAAGCCTCTTTTATTTTTCCAGATTAATTCCAAAGTTCATAAAGTTGAACTCTTGTAATATTGTCTACAGCAATTTCAATTTAAAGATTCCACTAAGCAATGGAACTAGCTAAATCATTTAATGCTCCTAAAGTCTTATTATCTAATTTTAATTTCTCCACATCCAAATCTTAAGGAATTCCATAATGTCTAACTAATATCAAATTTTAATATGGTTTAATTATTTGTTCTTAAAATAAACTCAATATTTCAATGTCAACTAATTAAATAAATTTATAAATTGCTTGTTTTCTTTAATTTTAATCGCTGACTTTGATCGCCTAATTATTTAAATATCAGATTATACTAAATAATTTTAAAAAGTTTGCTTCCTTAAAGGTTAATAAAATGATGATAGATAAGGTGGCATTTAAAGACTAAGATCAACAGTATTTGTTTTAGTTGTTATGAATTATCGTATTTCATCTAAATTCTCAAATTAAGGGTATTAACTATGGAATTAACTTTACATTTTTTTATTTAATTAAATAATATTTTTATAAAAATTAAACTGTTTCTTTTTAAACTTATTCTTTAAATGCTATTAATCTTATTCAATTGATTCATTTCTATCCACATAAGTAAACCCATTTACATATTATATTTTAATATAATTTTATATTTCCAATTCAACTTCTTATTTTCTGAGAACTTTTCTTCCATTTTTTGTTTCTTAAACAATATATTGTTATTCTACATCAATTTATGAGATAAGTTGAATGCTATAAAATTTTATAAATTATTTCTTACTTTTTGTAACCCTAAATGATTCATCTGTATTAATCTATTTAATCTCTTTCTTTTTCAATTTTATAATCAAACTCATTTATTAAATAGTGTATCATCTAATCAAATTCTTTTTCCTTACTCTTTTCATTTCAATCTATTATTTAGGTACATTATTAAAAAATAGATTTAGATGATATTCTTAAAAAATCATCATCAGCAAAATCAACTTAATAATTATTTTAAATTACATAATCCATTCTACTTTTAAATCTAATTTAATCAAAGAATTGTTATTTAATATTCCATAAAATCTTGTAACAACATTTATATCTAAAAAATACAATGGTTGTTGTCCATGGTAATAATTATTTAAAAAATAACCTCATTTTTATCTTGTTCTTTTTTTCAATTGATTCTTATCGTTTTATTTATCCCTATATTCTGATTCTTCATCTTCAATAATTTTCATTCTTTTTTTCTTTTAATTTCTGCTTTCATAAATACGCTTCGAAGAAACATACCCAGGTTCAATAGAATCTAATTTTGGTAATGATTTAGATGATGGGGATTTATTATTTTTACTTATTGATTCTTCTTATACTTTTGTAGAATTAGAATTATTTGGTTCTTATATATCTTTTTCATTAGTTATATTCTATATTTTATCATTTTCTTCTTAATTATTTTGTATTTATTTTATTATTTAATTTTCAGCTTCCTAATTTTTAGTATTTTTAGAAACTTTTTTTTGTTTTGAGATAGCAATTATATGATTTTATTCATTTACAATATCATTGACTTATTAATGATATTCCTTACTTCTTTTTTCCTTTCTTTTTTGATTAATTTTTTATTTTTTTTTAATTTCATCATTTGTCTCTAATCTACTTAATGGATATTCCGTAATTTTTTGATTCTTATTTTTTTTCTATTCTTTACTTTAATTAATATTGTTTTTTTAAGAAAGTTCAATAGATTCTATTTATTTTTGTTCTTCAATTTATTATTAATTATTTTGTGAAGATTTCAATTAGTTTTTTTCCTTTTTATCAAATTTTCTTTATCTATTTTAAGTAATTTTAAAAATTTAAATAGAATCAGCATCTAATAGATCTTCATCCTTTTTCTCCTCATCACTTTCTAAATAACTTACTTTATTTTTAATTCTTTTTGTTTCTAATTAATCTTCTTAAGATTTATCTTTTAATTTTAATTTATCTTTTTATTATTTATCATCAATAGATTTTATATCCTTTTCATCATTTATTTAGTTATCTAAAACCTTTTTCTTTTATTCAGTAATTTTGATTACTCTCTTTTCCTTGACTTATTTCTTATCATGTGAATTTATATGTTGATTTTCTTTTAAATTTTAAATGGATGATTCTTTTTATTTTTATTAGATTTCTTCTGGTTACTTTTACTCTTCAACATAATGAATAGTTATTCTATCAAATATTGCTTATTTAGTAATTAATATTGATATCATATTTGTTTTGTGAATTTACATAAAAAGTTAATCTTACATTCTCTTTTCAAAATTAAAGATTTCTATTTCACCTTTACTTATTAAAGCAATTTCTGAATATCTTAACCATTTAATTGTATCTTTTTATTTTTACTTTAGATGACATTTATAAAGTATTAATCCTTAATTGATTTATTTTTTTGTTAAGATTTTATAAATCTATCTTTATTCCATTAATTTTAATTTTTCTTTTTCCTACTATTACTTTTCATGTCTTATTTATCTAGCTTATTATGCTTCTTAAAGCTACTATTATTTAATTATAGATTCATTTTATTTTTAATCTTTTTCTTTTTAAACTTCTTATTAAATTTTCTTTTATTATTCTATATTTTTATCTTTATCAGTATTCTTTTATAATTTAGATTCTTTATGATGTTCACCTTTATCATCTAAACGATGTTTCTAAATTTACAAAGGTAGCATTTTCTATTTTTCAATATTACTTAATTTTTTATCCTTGATTTTAGATAATCCAATCAATAAACTATTGATACACTCTAATCCTTCTAATAATTCATCTTAATCTGGAGGTTTAGTTTATTCATCTATAAATTATTCTTACTTTTTATATAAATCTTCCCTACCTTTTAATCTTAAATAAATCAATGAATTTTTAGGATTGTAAAATTTCTATTTATATTTTTACTTAATTTTATCATCTAAGTTTTTACTTTTTATTTAATTTATTTCCTATATCTTTTTAGGTTCCTATTGAATTGATTATATTTTAGTTTTTTATTTTTATTATTATTATTATTTTTTAGTTATTAAATCCTATTTCAACTATTCCTTTCTCTATTCTAATTTTAACTATTCTTATTCAATATCTATCTCTTCTATTACATTTTAATCTTCAAAATATTATTCAATATATTATGGTTCTTCAATTGTAATTGTAGGTGGACTTGGATCCTTTTGTATTTCTATTGCACATTATGATCTATCACTATCTAATTATTCCTATTCTGATAATTCATCAAAATTAACTGACCATTACTACTTTTAAATATCCACCTTTCTTCTTATTATTGGCTCCTCTTATTCTTATATTACTATTGATGGAATTTCTACAGTCTCCTTTTTTACTTATAATATTGAATTCAATTATTCTATTCTATTGCCAATTGGACTTACTTAATTTATTTATTATTATTTATTTGATTATTCAGAACTCATTGATTCATTATCTGAAATATCCTCGATATCCTAAAAGTCTAATATGTAATGACTCTATTATTTGTTATGTTTCATATTTTATATATTCTCATTTAAACCAATTTTTTATTAATTACATAGAGAAAAAGAAAACAATGATTTTTTCAATTTCCAAAAAAAACATTCATTATCACTTTTTTATTCAAACAAAAAAATCAAACGATTAATTGATGGNTTTCTTTTATTATTCTATATTTTTATCTTTATCAGTATTCTTTTATAATTTAGATTCTTTATGATGTTCACCTTTATCATCTAAACGATGTTTCTAAATTTACAAAGGTAGCATTTTCTATTTTTCAATATTACTTAATTTTTTATCCTTGATTTTAGATAATCCAATCAATAAACTATTGATACACTCTAATCCTTCTAATAATTCATCTTAATCTGGAGGTTTAGTTTATTCATCTATAAATTATTCTTACTTTTTATATAAATCTTCCCTACCTTTTAATCTTAAATAAATCAATGAATTTTTAGGATTGTAAAATTTCTATTTATATTTTTACTTAATTTTATCATCTAAGTTTTTACTTTTTATTTAATTTATTTCCTATATCTTTTTAGGTTCCTATTGAATTGATTATATTTTAGTTTTTTATTTTTATTATTATTATTATTTTTTAGTTATTAAATCCTATTTCAACTATTCCTTTCTCTATTCTAATTTTAACTATTCTTATTCAATATCTATCTCTTCTATTACATTTTAATCTTCAAAATATTATTCAATATATTATGGTTCTTCAATTGTAATTGTAGGTGGACTTGGATCCTTTTGTATTTCTATTGCACATTATGATCTATCACTATCTAATTATTCCTATTCTGATAATTCATCAAAATTAACTGACCATTACTACTTTTAAATATCCACCTTTCTTCTTATTATTGGCTCCTCTTATTCTTATATTACTATTGATGGAATTTCTACAGTCTCCTTTTTTACTTATAATATTGAATTCAATTATTCTATTCTATTGCCAATTGGACTTACTTAATTTATTTATTATTATTTATTTGATTATTCAGAACTCATTGATTCATTATCTGAAATATCCTCGATATCCTAAAAGTCTAATATGTAATGACTCTATTATTTGTTATGTTTCATATTTTATATATTCTCATTTAAACCAATTTTTTATTAATTACATAGAGAAAAAGAAAACAATGATTTTTTCAATTTCCAAAAAAAACATTCATTATCACTTTTTTATTCAAACAAAAAAATCAAACGATTAATTGATGGATACTAAACTTATATTTAAATTTATATTATAATGTAATTAAAAGATTTTCCTCTAAATTATGTTAATTTTAATCTACAGATATAATTACAATTCATTATCATCTTTCCTTTACATTATCTAATAATCTAAAATATTTGAACATTATTCTTTTCAATTTTATCATTCTTAATTTATAAGATTTACTTTTCATAAATCTTATTTATGATGTTAACTTTCAAACCAATTTAATTATAATTTGTAGCTAACAATAGTATCTCTTAAAATAAAAAATTGTAAACTAAAATAATAGAATATATATTCAGACAACAATTAATAATCTGATACTCCATAAACCTCTTATCTAATGTAAATTTTATATCTTGATTATTGTTATGTATAATTAAAGATCATTATATAAAGAGAAGAAACTTTAAGAAAGACATCTTTTTTAAATTTATTATTTTTTTAAATTATTTTTACTTTAAGAGTAAATTATTTACTTAGATTAGATTTTCTTCTTAAATTCAAATTCAAATCACCTTGAGAATGAATTACTTAATCAATCTTTTATGATTTTCTAATTTTTTTGATTCATTTATTCATCTGTAAAAACCCACAAAATAATAGATTTATTTTTTAAGGTATCTAAAATTTTCTATAAAATTCTCTTAAAGTAGAAGTTTCTTGATCTCAATAGTGAATTGGGATGAAATAATAAATATATAAATATTAAAAATATTAAAATAAAGAGTAATCTCAATTTTTTAAGTTAAATTTATTTACTTTATTTATAACTATTTTATGCAAAAGAGTTTAATATATGATTCATTTATATATAAATTATGCTATCTTATAAATTTCAGGTTAAGAAAGTTTTGAAGGTGAATATATTTTTAGTTATTTCTAAAAAAAAGGGAAAAATTTCCAATTAGATCTAATAAAAATTAGTAAGCAGAAACAGAATTCCATTAAAAATTAAAGAGATTCAAATATAATGGATTGATAATCAAATTCAATTTATGATGAAAAAAGGTTTATTATTGGATTAAAAGATTAGCATAAAAAAGTAATTAGTTTAAAATTAATTTTAACTCCATAAATCTCTCTTCTAGGTTCTAAAAATATTTTTTTATCTAATTAATCTTTTTTTATATATTATATAATCATCTTATGTTATATAAAGATTTTTAATGTTTTATAAAGAGTATAGTTATTACATACTTTTGTTTTTGTCTAAGAATCTTGAAAACAATATCTCATTCAAGAGTTGATGATGGTTAAATAAATTTTGTAAGTATTAAAAAATAGTGTTTTAAACAGTAGAATAGAGAATTACTTAAAAGATAAGTAATATAGTAAATTTAGAATGAATGGTGTAATTAAAATAGAGATTAAATAGGCTGCCCATTTTTACTAGTTTATTCTAACTTACTCTTCCAATTAATTAATAATTTATTAAAGTGTAATGATTTTGGGAACAGAAGTTAATGAGTTTGTTTTAAATAGATAATAATCGAAAATTCATTACCTCTAAGAAGAAAATAAATAATTATAAGAATATATAGTTGACCTTGAAAATGTTATAAAACTAAATAAATAAGCGATGGGTCTTACAATGGAAGGAATGAATAAAAGAGGTCAAGTAAAAATGATTTTGAATAATTTAGTTAACATCTGATTCTAGTACAATGTCAATGTGTTATACTAATTATTAGAATTCTTAAATAGAAAGTGTGATGAAATTATTGAATGAAGAAAATGAAAAATTAATGAAAGGATTTACAAATCAATAGAGAATAGCATAATAATTATAAACAAAGTTGTTTCTCTAAGAATAGATCTCAGAAGAGCAACAAAACTATTACAAAGATTTAATAGCAGATTTAGAATATAAATTAATAGAGTTAAAAAGAAATATTCATGATAAGGAATTTGCAATCTAAGAATTAGAAAGAATGAAACCTATATAAGAGAGAGAAGGATAATTAGTAAAATTAGTAGAAATTGTAACTCCATCAGAATAGAATCTAAAATTACATGAAGAACTTGAAAATGTTAGAAGTTTACTTACTAAAATTACAACTGAAGCTTAATAAATAACAGAAACTAATAATACATTAAGAGAAGTTAATTATGTATACTTCTATATTTAATTAAAATAGCATTTGAAGAGAGAAATCTTTAAAATGAGAATTGTTTTACGAAGTTAAACTAATTATTAATGTATGAAAGGTAAATAAATCTATTAATATTTATATTAGATTTTGTATTTAATGAATTCATAGATAAAACTGATGATAATTTAGAACTTAATAGAGAAGTCTAAAATCATAGAGGCAAATTAGAATCTTTACATTAAGAATTATACGGAACTTATGGTTTAGGATATGGATTCTCTCCAGAACCATAATAACTTAAATATTTAAGCAAAAATGAAAGAATGATTTATTAAGAAAAATTACATAAAATGGAAATGATGGTTAAAGGATTTAAAGAATTATTTGAAAAAGAAAAAAACGCTAATATTCATATTCGAAAATTATATAATACATTACTTGAGAAATATGAATCCATACTTGATACCAATGAACTACTTATTAAATCTAATTAATTAAAAGATGAAAGAAATGAAAAATAGTAAATTGAATTACAATTTTATAAAAAATAAAGTCAAAGTTTAATGGAACAATTAAGAAATAGAAAAACAATATTTAATTCTATTGTTCTTAATTAAGAATAAGATATTGCTGTCTAAATCTTTAGTCCGAGGTTTCAATAAAGACAATAATCAAACTCATTATAATCATCAAATATGAAAAATTAATAATCATATGAATTAGATAATAAGAAAATAATATCTAAAGAATTTCAATCATTAAAAAACAATCAATAATAATAATAATAATAATCATAATCATAATAATAATAAACAGTTTAGAAATAACAATAAAAAAATATTCTAACTTAAAAACCAAATTTACCACAATTAGAAATAGATGATTCATCTTCAGAAGAATAGGCAAAATATATTTGTTAAACAGCAAGAGGAGATAATCAATAATTAAGAAAATTAAATTAATAATAATAATAAGGATAAATTCTTTAATATTATGATATGACTAAATAAGAATGTATAGAATTTTTAATGTCTATGTTTAATGATTATTTTAAGAAATTAGATGTATAAATTATATTTATTATTATAGTTCAGCAATATAAAGAAATTACAATTAATGAAGTAAATTCAAGATTAACCAATATTTAAAAAGGCTATAAGAAGATCTTACAGTAATCCATTCTTGTATTTTTCTAATACTAATAATATTGCATTTAATTAACCACCAAAACAATCAGTTTTAGCCATTGTATTAATTTATTATATTTAGACTAAAAATGAAATTTAATTACTGTTGGCTGAAATATAAAGTAAAAAACAAAATTAAAATAATTATTAAGATTAAGGAAATGATCTTTTTAGTGTTGACGTGTCTAAGATTGATATTAAATAAAATAAAAGATAGATCATCGATAATGAACTAAGCTTTATTTCTAATTTTGAATAATAAGACTGATTTATATATAAAAATAATTTAATATCAATAGAAAACATGTCCAAATAAAATGTTAAGGCCACTTCATCAACTCTTGCTGAATCTGCTTACATGAATGAAACACAATTAAGCTTTTACAACTTTAGTTTGAAAGTAGCTTAAAAAATCTTACAAGTATAAATTGAAATTACATCTGATTCTCTTATTATTGAGGCTGTCGAAACAGCTATTGATTATTTCACTCAAATATATTATGATTAAGATATAAATGAAAATGCTGACATTTATGAAGTATTTTCTGCAGATCAATAAGGCAATCCTTTAAAAACTAAGTTTAAGTCAGATTAAATACTCTAAGAAATAGAATGCAAGTCTTTTGCTTTAGTTGTTAAAAAGAAGGGAACTTTATTATCAATTTTAAAATAACCCATCTTGAAAGAATCTCCTATAACAAGTACTAAAGAATTACCTAAGTTCAGATATGACACTACTATTAACAAATGATTACTAACCTTTATAATTTATTTAAAACCATTTATGTTAAATTTATTCTTTATATAAAATAAATTAGTCTTAATTCTATTATTTAGTTACTTCTTTGCTTTATTTTATCAATTAGTTAGAATCATAAGCCATTTAAATTTTAAACTATTCCTTTAATACTCATTTTTCACCTTTGTTTCTTTTTTATTGTTCCATAAAAAATTTCAATTTCAATGATATTAGTAATTTCTCTGCTTTTAATTTACTTAATATATCCTTTATTTTTGAATCAACAGATCCAACGACAATATTTTTTTTCAACAAAATTAATTATTATTATTAAACATATTATTTATATAAGATTGGATCTATAAAACAAGAAGTCGCCAGCTTATCGTTTTCTCATAAGGAATTTTAGGATCCTTTTTTTTATCAATCTAGTCTTATGGTCTAAATGATTATTTTAATTTTTTATTCTTTATAACAGTTAATTTAGTTAATGTTTTTAATTTAACCCTTTGAGCATGAGCACTAATAAATTTAGTATCTTTTAAATTTAATTATAATTCATCCTTAATTATCAAGGTTTTTATTCCAGCAGCTTCTCTTACATCTTTATAAATCATTAATATGTATTCCTTCTAATTGTGTCTTATTTAATTAATACTAATATATTTTATTGTTTAAAAATTCTTCTCTTTCATTTTATAAGTATATTAAAATTTTTTCTTTTTTTTCCTTTATTTTCTTTTTTTCATATAAAATAATTTAAGATTTATTTTTATCTTTTTCACCTTCAAACTATTTTTTAAGGTTCCCCTTTTATTCAAATTTGATTAATAGAGATCTTTTTTCTATGATTTGACTATTTTTAGGTAAAATAATTATTTCATACTTTTTTTTATATATTTCAATTTTCTTGAACCTAAAGTTTCTTGATTAAAATGTAGATCTTTTAATTTTAAATTGCTATATATTCAACCTTTCAATAGTAGTTTATTAGATTAAAATCTCTTTTTATTTTTTAATTCATGAGCTCTTTCAGGGTATTATCATGCTTCAATTTTTTTGTTTATAAATCTCCTTAAATCTTAATTCTTTTTTAATGCGTATGTTAATTAGATTAATTTATATAGTCCTCTATTTTCTTTTATTGGAATAACTTGTTTGGCTTTTTATAATGTTTTGATGCTGTTATATTTTGTTACTTTGTTTTTCTAACTTTTCAATATATTTTTTCCTCTTATTATTATTTAATAAATAACAATTTTGCAAAATATTTTTCTTTTTTTTTATATAAAGTTAATAAATGATTCTTTTTTCATAAGAATTGTAGAAACTAAAATTATTTAGTTTGAATACTAATTATCTTATTAATCTCAAGTAATGTACTTAAGTGATTGATCATTTGATTTATGCCTTTGTTTAGTTAATTTTACAGAATTTAATAATTCTTATAATTAATGGTTAGAATCTTTTTATAGTATTTAAAAAAAATGATTGTGTTTTATGATTTTAATTCTCTTTATTTAAGTGAAAGTAAAGAGAGCTTAATTAGAGAGATAATAAAATAATGAATTGACAATATTCCTTGAGTGATAGAGTTTAAAATAAAATAATAAATAAGAGAATTGGAATGATATATTAATCTAAAACAAGATTTTTGTATTGTGATTGATTAATAAATCATTTTTTAAACATTTTTAATTAGGTTGATTAATCATTAAATTAATTATTTTGATGGCATAAATCATAGATAATTCAGATGCAATTGAACCAATCTTCAAGAAATTATAAGAAACCTTTAGGACTCATAAAACAAAAGATGTGAATTTTAGAAAAGCTCAATTAAGAAATCTATTAAAAGGTTTAGAAGAGATGGAATAAGAGTTACATTAAGCTTTGTAAGAGGATTTAGGAGTAACACTATTCAGTAGTTAAATGACATCAACAATTATTACTAAGACAGATGTAGAGAATCAATTAGCTCATATTGATAAATGGAGTAAGGAAGAGAGTGTAGATACCCCATTTGTAAAACTCTAATTATTTATTATAGGTTATAGGACCAGGAACATCAAAAATCATTTATGAACCATTAGGAGTTGTATTGGTAATAGCTGCATGGAATTACCCACTTTATACAGGAATACCTCCTATGGCTGCAGCAATTGCTGCTGGAAATTGTGTTATTCTTAAACCTTCAGAATTAGCTCCACATTCTTCTTAAGTTATGTACAAATTAGTTGATAAATATCTTGATAAATCATGTTATGCTGTGATATAGGGAGGTGTGGAAGTATCAAAAAAGATAACAACATTTGCATTTGATTTAATAATATTTACAGGAAGTCCAGAGAAAGGGAAATTAGTTGCAAGAGCTGCTAGTGAAAATTTAGTACCATGTATTTTAGAATTAGGTGGAAAATCTCCAACAATAGTTGATAAAGATTGTAGTTTAAATGTTACAGCTTAAAGAATAATTTAAGGTAGATTTACAAATGCAGGTTAAACTTGTGTTGCATGTGATTATGTTTTTGTTCATGAATCAATTAAAGATGCTTTCATCAATGAAATGAAAATTGAAATTAAAAAATTCTTTGGAGAAAATCCATAAAATTCACCAGATTATTCTAGAATTGTTACTACTTTCCATACATAAAGATTAGAAAAACTCCTATAAAATCATGATGGATAAATTGTTTTAGGAGGATAAGTTAAGGTCAATGAAAAATATGTAGAACCCACTATAATATTGGAACCAAATTAAAATTCTTAAATTATGACTGAAGAAATATTTGGTCCCATTCTCCCTGTATTCACATTTAATGATATTGGAAAAGTTATTACTTTTATCAATTCAAGACCAAAACCTTTAGCTTTATATTATTATGGTAACAATTCTAAAAATAAAAAATTACTTGAATAACAAACTTCTTCAGGTGCTATTGTTCATAATGATTCAGTATTTCATTTATTAAGTAAATTAATATATTATCTAATTCTAGATCCAAATTTACCATTTGGAGGTGTAGGAAATAGTGGTTATGGAGCTTATCATGGAATTGCTGGATTTAAAGGTTGTAGTCATGCTAAACCAGTATTTAATAAATCTACATTGAATATCTATCCATTTAATATTAGATATCCTCCATTTACTAAGCATAAGTTACAAACTTTATCTTTATTGTATATCAAATCCATCTTATTATAAATAGTTTCAAATTTGCTGAATTACCTTAAAGACATGTAGTCAATGCAACACTTTTTATTTCCTTTCTTGTCGCCATGAAAATAGCCTCCAAGAAAGGCTATCTAAAGAGGTTCTTAGAAATATCTAAGCCATATGTTGATAAATTGTGGAACTCTGCAAATTTATGAATAAATCAAATAATTTATAAAAAAAAATGTCTGAAACAAATTATTATTAGAAATTTGGAGTAAATCAATCAGTTTAAAATAGTGAGTCACCTAAACTATTGACTCCTATTCTTAAAATACATCATTCAAAATCTGATGGAGATATAGATACTAGAAAAGATACCTTTGGTAATTTTATCAAACCTGGATAAAAAAAACATCGAATTTAATTTAAAGATAAAAATGAGGTGTTTATAGGTATAAGATGAATTGATTTCAATAGTTGAAAATTGGAAACAATACAATAGTGATATGGCAAATCAAGAATCTCCTTGTCTTTGCACAATCTTATGAATTGTTATCATTCATTTTCATTAACTTTTATAAAATACTTTCTAATAAATGATCATTTAATAGAATTTGTTTTCTTGAAATTCTACAGTTTTATATATCATTCTAAAATTATTATTTTAGTTTTAACTTTCCTTAATATATATATTATAATAATATGAACTTATTTATATATAATTCATTTTGCACGAGTTGGTTGCTTGACTGCACCTCTTAAAGTATTTTTATGTTTAAGATAAGAATCGAAAAATGTATTTAAATCATTTTTCATTAAATGATTTTTAATGTTTGGCTCATTAATCATTTATTTCATTGTCTCATCAATAACTATAAATTAATCATATCTATTTAATACCATAATATGTTCTGTGTGCTGATTTCTATTATTTATATCCCGTATGTGTTTTATCTTCATAATCTTTTATATGATCTACCTTAAATAGAATTGCTTGAGTTGCTTTATCTTTTTCTCTCTATTGTTTTAGTGGTTTTACTAATTCTTCTAATCGTCCTTCCTTCTTTAGTTATTTATAATTATTAAAATCTTCCTCTCTTTTACGATTTACATCCTACATTTGTGTAGTCATTGTTCCATAATTGTCAAGTCCTAATGAAATTAATGCTGAAGTTGTCAAAACTGAAACTGGTGGTTTTGGTAATGATTTTGTGACACTGTTCAAATTTGCTGGTGGTTATTATGTTGTAAATTCTTCAATATGTTAATCTAAAACTGGTTTAATTAGTTTAGTATGTTCATAATCAGGAACCTCTTTATCGTATAGTTCATCTTAGACTTTATTATAAATAGCAGCTCTCTCTTGAAGAATCTCTATTTTATTTCTTTTATCTAAGAAATTCATTATATTTTTTATTAATTTTTACTCATGTTTTCTAAATAAAAATAAAACTCTATATAATCATTCAATTTTTCTTTAAAATAGATAATAGAAAATATTTTAAAAATAACATAATCTTAATATATTATAAATGAGCTTACTTTTTAATATTATTATTTTTTTTGTAGTGGAAAAACTCTTTTATTTTAAGACTCTGAAAATCTATAAAAAAAGTTTAACATTAATTTCTATAATAGGATTTATTTAATTAATTTAAAAAGTTTAGAGGAAAAATATTATTCTTAATCAAACATATTTAGTAGTATTTGCTTTTGCAGGAAATTAATAAAAAAAAGGAGAACTCTAATGATAATGATAATTAATAAATTTCAGGAGAAAAAAATAACTTTTCATTATTAAAATGGTCTAACTCCTAAGGATTGGAGTTTACTACTAAAAGGTCTTGTTCTTTAATTGGTTTTCATTTGTCTACTAACACCAGTTTGAGGTCTGAATCCTTAAGAGGATGTTTTTGTAATAACAGGATTTTTATTAGAATTCTCTTAACTAATAAGCTTCATTAAATCAAGTAGGTTATCATACAATTAGAAACCAGGTTATTATTTATTTTTTTATATAAGAGAAGTTCCTTTGATTAGAGAAACATGTTGATAAAAACCTTCAGTTAATTATTAGACATCTCTATCATTGATTTAATGTCTTTAAGATACATAAGTTGGTGAGAGTAATCTATTTTTGATGATTTATTTTTCAATCATATTATAATTTTTGATTTATTATTCTTCAATGTTATAATTTTCACAATCCCCTCCTAAAGAGACTTTTTTGAGAGCTGAATGATTTCTAACAACATTTTAATTGGCTATAAATTAATAAATGATTATAACTTTTATCATATTTTTTAGTATTTCTCCAATATTTAGTTTCTGAATGATATGGCAATTGAATCATTTCTTCATTTTCATCAATTTTCATCATTTATTTGTTTTATGAATTGAGACCTGGAGCAGTAATAGGTCTTTATCTTTAAGCAGAATTTTATGTAGGTGATATAAAAGCAGTCATTGGTCTTTGAGATTTTTCAGGAGTGATTTGTAAGTTATCTAATTCTTGTTCTTTTTTTGCCTTGAAAGTTTATTTTGAAAATCCTGTGAATTTATATAAATATAATAAATACCATAGTTCTCTAAATCTTCTTAATAATCTTAGCGAAGATCTTCAATATTATGATGTTATTTCTTATGTCTAATAACAGGATCAAAATGATCTTCTATTTATTTTTCTCGAAGCATCAATGCTTAATATTTCTTATTAAGTAAAGTTAGACTCATAATAAAATAATAATAAATATATTCAAACTTTAAAATCATCCATTTATCTTTTTTTAGATAACTAGATTCTCAAAATTCTAATAGCAAATATAATATCTTTGATTTAACTTAAGATATATTAGAAAGCCTATTTGTAATTTTTTTCAAAGAAGAAGTAATATCATTTTTAGTTTACTTTTTTTCTAAACATAATTAATCTATATATTTAGATAATGAATATAGCTCTCCTACTATAGAATTCGATATTTCCATACTCTATTCATATAATCTAATATATATTATTAATCACATATATAAAAATTATTAATTATATTTAACTATAAGTAATTAAGAACTCTAAATTAGTAATAATGATTTCTTTATTTTCCTATAATACATCTATTAAATATCTAACTTTTCTCTGAATCCTTTTAGACATTTCCAATGCTAATACTAATAGTAAATTTATAATTAAATATTATGATTAATTATAAGTATATTTCATACATCAATTAAGTATTCATTCTAAAATTTACTTTATTTGATTGCATTAATAGGTTCTATTTCTCCTTCCATTCTATCATTTTTCCATTAACCAACATATTTCTATCCATTCTTCCAATTATATGTTCCCTTACCTTATCTTTTACCATCCTAAAAGAATCCTTCATATTAATCTCCATTAGCATATTCATATCTTCCTTAACCATTCTTTATTCCATTTGCCCATTCTCCCATAAATACATCACCATTTGTTAATATTAGTACTCCTTAACCATTTCTAACATCATTTCTATATTCACCTTCATATTTATCTCCACTTAAATAATAATATATTCCTTTTCCACAACGTTCTCCATCTACAAAATTACCTTCATATCTATCACCATTAACATAATAAAATATTCCATGTCCATTCTAATTCTCATTTCTCCATTCTCCTTAATATTTTGCTCCATCATTATAAACATATGTTCCTTAACCATGTTTCTAACCTCCCATCCATTCTCCTTCATATCTATCCTCATTTTAATATTGCATCACTCCAAAACCATTTGCTTTATCCTCTAAAAACTCTCCTTCAAATCTTGATCCATTTTAATATTCAAATACACCTTTACCACATTTCTCTCCATCTCTCCATTCTCCATAATATTTATCACCACTTGTATAAATATACATACCACTTCCATGTTTCTCACCATCTAACCATTAACCATCATATTTCTCATTTGTTGCAAAATATGTATAAGAACCCTTACCATTCTTTTTATCATTCATCCATTCTCCTTCATATTTATTCCCATTCACATATAAATATACTCCTCTACCATGTTTTGCACTCTCTCTCAATTCTCCATCATATCTTTCCCCATTTGCAAATATATATACTCCTCTCCCATGAAATCTATTTTATATCTTTCAAAATACCTATCATCTTTCCATTCTCCAACATATTTATCTCCATTACTATAATGATAAATCCCTTTCCCATTTCTTTTCTCATTTATTACCTCCCCTTCATATTTACTTCCATCAACATAATTTTTTATTCTTATTCCTTTCTTATATTTACCCACTTCATCCTAATCCTTTATCCATTATTACTCAAATCTATTCACTATTTCATCCTTCTCTTTTAATAATTTTAATTTCTCCTACTCCAAAGTTTTACTTGGACCAATTTTGAATTTTAGATCAGCCATTTCAAAATTTAATTATTTATACTACTAAAATTTTCTGTTAATATTATTTTATTATAAAATATAATATTTTGTTTAATCATCATTTTCTCATTTTTTTCTACAAAATAATCATTTTTTGATTCTATAAATCAATTTCAAATCAGAATTTTTTATTACTTAATTTTATGCATTTCAATTAAAAACTATTCATTATTTCTATTCTTATTCTTTCAATTATTATTATATTATGTTTGTTTATTTTTACTATTAAATATCTTTTTTCATTCCTTCATTATTACTTTGTTTTATAAAATTTACTTCATTTAAGAATAACACTTACAAACCTTTAAATTAAATATTATTATCGTTTTCAAATTAAGAATAGAAATTTTCATCAAATAAAGGTCCGTCTTGAAAATCTCGAATTGATTCTAACTAAAAAAATGATTTAATCCAAAACTTATAAATCTTTTTTAAGATTTATTTTGTTGCATTTTATCTAATAAATCTATAGCAGATGGATTGCGATAAATTATAAGTCTTTTATCATAAGTTGCTTAATAATTAATTCAGCATAAGATGATGACCAAATTTTAATTGCTGTTAAGTAATCATGTGATGATATATTTTCTCATAACTTTTTGATCAACTGTAACATTAACTTTTTGCATTAATTTCATTACTTATAAGATGCAACTTTTTCATAGCCACTTTCTATTAACCACTTTCTATTTTTCTTAATTAATTTATATCTCATATATTCATCATGAGCTTCTAATAATTTATTTATTTTATAACTAGCTTCTACACTGAATTGTATCCCAGAAACTATTTGATTCATAAGTATATAATTAATAAATCAATTCACCATTTTATATTATGTTTGTATGCAATTTATCTCAATTATATTTCTGTCTTATCATGTTTCTTTACTAATCCAATCCTTTATTAATACTGCAATACTCTTTATGTTTAAGAATCTGTAGGGTCATTCAAAATCTATTAATTTTACACTTATTTTTATTAGTATTACTCATGATTGACTTTTGTTTCAAATAATTTTCTTTTTGAACCTTATTTAGTATTCTTATTTAAAATAAAATTATTTGGAATTGTTAATGGGTTTATATTGTTTTATGATTTAACTTTGTTTCTATCCAACAATTATCTAATATGTCCCATAAATTGATCATATTTTTATTGATTTTTCATTGATGGTAATGCAAATTCCTATTCCATCATTCTAAACATTGGATGTCGTTCAGACTTTGTTGTATTAATATGTAATTCTTTATTTTATCTATTCTTAATGTGTTACTATAAATAATTAGTCATTAAATATAAATAATATTTCAATCATTTTTGAATTTTTCTAAGTACAATATCATCAGTAGTAGTCTATAATGAACTCTAAGAGTTTACATAAAGAATACTAGCATTTCTTTATGGTCTTATTTTAAAGACAAAATCTTCTATTTTTTTTCTCTATATTGCTCGTTCTTCATTGTTTAAAAGATTGCTCATTGAAGCACTCTTTACTGATCTAGTTTATCCTTTCATTCCATTGTAATGAATATCATTCATATTCTATAATACAGGATTAAATTGCCTTGGTTAAAGTGTTCTTCCCAATTTTATAGGAGTACTTTCATCAAATGGAGTTTGAAATAACGTAGATCTCAAAGATATCTTTTAGGGATATAATTAAAATTTTTGTTATCTTATAGGTGTTTTGAAAATTATTGAAGATTGCTATTATTTTATCTGCGATTCTACTTTTATTTATGGTTCTATAACTGGTTTCTTATTTGGAGAATTAGGCTTACTGCTCTCATCTAATTTCGGCATAGATGTTGTTCGAAATCTCATTCTTGTTTTAGGGGATTCTTAAGATGCCAAAATAGATGGCTTATCAATTTATTAAGATCCCTATCTCTTCAAAAATAGAGGATTTTACATTAAATGTTCTAAGTAGTGTTCTTCACTTACTTCCCATCCCTGATCCATTTATCTTACAAAATTATCAATTTTTATATATTATTTTATATTATCTTTATCAAACAATTATTTACTACATTAAATAAATTTATAATATAATTTATGATTTAACTTTTATATTTTTTTACTTAAAATCAATCTTTGCGCTCTTTTTAAATAATATCCTTAACTCTCAATTTTCTTTTTAAGTTTACTAAATTTTAATTTATATGTTTCAAAATCTATTAAGATATAGAAATCATTAAATAAATTCTAAATTATTTTTGTATACAACAATAAATAAAAATATATCTTAATGTAAAAATAGGATAAATATCAACTAGAAAATATATTTTAATTGATTTTTTATTTGATATATCATATTAAATTGCTGTAAATAAATAAGATTAGATCAACTTAATAATGAAAGACATTTTTAATAGTAGACCTCTTTTTATGCTTCAGAAAGAATTAATTCTTAACAAATAATTTCAGCTTTTTGATTTATTCGGCTCAATTCTTCTTTATTGTATCTATCTTATTAAAAAATAAAATTACAGATTGTTTTTTTTAATCATTTCTTAAAGAGAATGTATAATAAATTACTGTTCCATTTGATATGTTTAAATTTTTTCTTTTGATAATACTTCAAAAGATTAAAGAATCTTTTTTACAGACAAAAAAGTTTCTTTAATAAAATTTTTTAATTCTTACTATTACTGTTTGAATTAAATAACTTAAGTTTGCAAATATTTAATTTTTATTGAATCATGATTATTTGGTATTCTTAATAAAGACGGTTGTAAGGAACTTAATTAAGTATTTTCTTAAAACTGAGGGCCTAATTTAGGAACTTTCACAGTACTAAGGTATTAATTTTTAGGATCATTTTAATATATTTTAGCTAATAAATTTGAGCAATATTATTTTTGAGATAACAGTTCCTATTATAATCTATTAATTTTGAACTCTTATAATCTAATAACTGAATCCTATTAATCTATTTTATTTCTTAAGTCATGGACTAATTATTCTATTATTTGAATAAGATAATACTTGTAATTACTTTTTCAGATGTTGATGTCTAAGATTATTTATACAATATTAAAGATAAACCGTCATTTTCTTATTACAAAATTCGTGGATGATTAGTTTACAATCTGTTATGTGTATTGTTATTTTAACCTTACTTTATATGAAACTTTTTATTTTGTTTAATTGCTGTAATTCTTTCAGTTTTGATAATTCTACAACCAATCTCTGTATCTGAATTTCCAGCAGTCTTATTTAACATAATTGCATCTGGTAATTAAATAGGTTAAACATGTAATTTAAGATGCTGTTTTTTCGCAGGTGGTGGAGAATGTGAATTTTACATAATTTACATATTAATATTTAATTCTCACTAAATCAAACCAATCCCCCTTAATTTAATTTGTTTCTAATAACTGTACTAAATTCTGCAGAGTTTACAAAATCTTTAGCATTTCTAGTAGTTTAGAGTTGAATTTAATATTAAGCTTTCAATTCATTATAAATTTAAGTCTCTTAAGCTTAGGCATCTTTATCTTATTCTAATAAAAGTATAATATAAATAATTACATAAAGATTCATTGTAATTTTATAAATCAAGTTCATTTTATGCTAATGCTTCTTGAGTTGATTTTAATTTATCTAAATATATATAATTATTTACTTTAATAAGCAGCCAAAACATAAGTAGCTTCAAGAAGAGATCTCTTAAATTCTTAGTATTCAGTATTTAAAGTCTTCTATCTTTAAGTCCAAGTTTCTTCTATTTATTATTCATCAGCATTTTCCTAATTTAAAATTAAATCAATAAATATTACTTAATTTAAACTAGCAACCAATTAATTTCTTGTATCTTATAATAAATCTCTAATCTTTTTAGCTTATCCTTAATCTGAAAAATTCTATGTTAATTAAAGTAAGGCTTCAATAACTGGATGAATTGTGCTTGTTTTTGCAATCTTATTGTTTACTCTCTTTACAGCTTAATGGATTGTTGCTTTTTCAGTAAATGCTATATTTCCATTAATTAATGAATTGATTAATTATAAGGCTTCATCTACTGCACTTATTGCACCTTAATGTTCACTCACTATACTTTTTTTATTTATTATACCTCTATCAAGATAAGCTTAATGTTAATTCTATCTACTTAATGTTTCCCTTGATAATGAATCTCTATTATCATTCATAAAACCATTCAATCTATCTATCTTTTAATTTGTTTAATCTATGCTTGGTAACAATATAGCATCAATAAAGTCTTTTTAATTAAAAATGTTTATTTCTGTTTAACCTATATTAATGTCTAAGTTTTCTTAAGTGATTTAATGTTAATTTGTTGATCTAGTAAAATCATCTTCTAATTATTGCAATTCAACTGTCAATTCATTTTCTAAATCTCCTATTGCTGTTACTAAATCATCTTTTAACTTATTTACTCATTCTTACCTAATGGTCCTCTCATTTCTGCATGAGTTTAAGCCATCTCAATTATGAATCTTCCTAAATTACTCTAAGAAAGTTCATCAATTTTCTCAGTACTCAATTATACCATACTTGGATCTACACAAGTGACTATATATATAGTCAATAATAAAGCTAAGCCTTTTTACATTTCCTAATTTAATATATATTTATATAATCCGTTTTATACTACTTATTTTCATATATATTATTCTCAGCATTTCTTTAAAGACTTAAATTAAAGTACAAATACTTTAATATTTATACTAAATTACTAACAATCTTATTCAATTATCATTATCATCATATTTTAAGATGAATTTAAGGTAATAATATCAAAATAATTGATTGAAAACTTTTATTATATTAAATTAATTTTACTATGGAATTTATTGCATCTTTTGATAAATTTGGAGCAATCTATAAACCAAAACTAAAATAAGAATCTAATAATTATAAAACTGTATTAGGTGGAATTATCTCAATAATGATATACCTAATAAGTTTTCTTTATTTTTGTTACAAAATCTTAGAATTTGGAAAAAATGAAATAAATCCTATTCAGTCAATTGCTTATGAATATACTGAAAATTTAACAATAAGTGATAATCAAGATATGTTGAGTTTCTAAATTTAAGGAACTAAAATAAATCCTTTTAATAAGTCTGCTCAAATCCTTGTCCCAATGATGATTTTTTAAGGAACCAATGTATGGACAGATTCATGTAAATAGATAATGTATTTAATAGTATTTTATGGATATGAAGACATTTACAACAATTAGGAAATTGATTTTAATACTCAAATTTACTCACCAAAAAATTTAAGTCTTTAGAATGGATAGGGTGATTATCCTCATAGAATTTTAATAGGATTATAAGTATGTAATTAATATTAACATAAAAATTGTGCTAACGAAGAAATAATTGATTAATTTTTTAAGTAAAATAGTATTAATAAAAATAGTTAAAACAATCTTTTAATTAAAACTACAGTAATAACTGAATAATATAATTCTTTTAAAAGAAACATTAACAATATGACAACCGAGTTAGATTTTGCTATTGATAGAAACTCTACTTTTTATTAAAGAATCATAATGCAAGCCCAACTCTTATAAATAGATGAAGGTCCTCTACTTCCATCTATTAATTCTAAATGGATTTTTAGCGATTTATAAGTACAGACTTAAAGTTTGGGAAAAGGTTTTAAGAGTGATTTGGATGCAGTGTTTCTTACTGAATTATCTATGTCGTTTGTAACATAAAGAAAAGTGGTTCAGTATATAAAAGTTTCCTAAGTTCTTGCTGATGTAGGTTCAATATTTTCAAGTTTAATGCTTTTTAGTATTATAATTTCATCTCTTAATGAATTTTTAATGGAAGAAGAATTACTATAATAAGTCATTGGTATTTATTATCCACAATTTTGTTAATTATAATTCAAAAGATTTTTTAATTTTGGTCCAATAAAAGAAGTTAGATTTAAAGATAAATCTCTTAATTTAGAATAATTCTTATAATTCTATAAAAAAGCTAAAACAATAGCCAAGAATAAATTAACTATACATAGTAGCATTTATTAAACTTCTCGATTATAGTTTGCTATATAAGGATTAATTGCTAGAGAATCTCTTAAGAAACTTAATTTTTAGGGCATAAAATTAAACTTGAATTATGTTAGTACATATAAATCCCCAAGAGAAAATTAAATTTGTTAGTCTAAGTCCTCGGTTATAGAATATTAAGAAATAGAAGATCTTGTAAATCTTTAATTTACAGATGAAGATTTTGATTTATTTGAATAAGACGATCATAAATAGAATGAAAAATAGCAAATAGTAGAAGATAACTAGGTTTAACAGTTAAATTTAAATGATATTTAATAAATAGATATATGATTTAAAAAGTTTAGATTATTTAACAAATCATTGATTTTCTAAAGATTTGATTATAAAATCTAAAAGATAATTAGGAATTGTTAATGATTATAAGATGTGATAATTTAAAATTATTATTCTTCATTTAGAGTATTTTTTGAATCCATCCATATTTTAAGACTATCCTAAATTATATTCATTAGGTTCATCCACTCCAACATATACTTTATTCATAGCTTAAACAATTGGAGAAGGAGGAATATTAAAATATACTTAAGGTGGAACTATAAATTAAACACTAGGTTGTAATACTTTACTATTATTAAGAGAATCAATCTATATTAATAATTTTATATACTCTATCTTTATTAAAGAATTTGTTATATTATTCACTTAAAAAATTAATTGGTTTACTGTTATTGTTATTGATACCGTTAAGTAAACTATCCATTTTCATATATTTAATCGGGTTAGAATTAGTAAACATTGATAATTACTATTTATAATCTTAATGATCTTGTTATGAATTCGATTACTCATCATATTAATTTCCACATTAATAGAGATCATCAAAATTTCTAGCTTATTAATGATCAATTATATCATTAACAACTATTTCATCATTGTTATTCATTCTATTTTTAACTCTCATCTTAGACTTCAACATATCCTATTCTTCTTATTTGTTTTCTATTTTGACCATTTTTCTTGAACCTTAATCTTATTATAATTCAGGTTATTATTAATATTAATGTATTTTATCAAAATTTTATAATACTTTATTTCTTTATCCTATTTACTATTAGTAATTCTTAGTTTATTACTAATAATTTATTTTTTAAATCTATTATTATTGAATTTAAGCTCTTGTTCTTTTTGGTTCTATACTTTATTCACTCTCTAAATCTGATTAAGATTCACTTTCCTTTCTCTTTTAAAATCCTGGATACTATAAATATAGATATATATATATACATCCTACTTAGTGAAAACTTTCTTATGATTTGATTATATCATTTCCATTTCAATATTTTCATTTGAAATAAATTAATACACATTTCCACTTAAATCACTAAAACACAACAGCATTTTTATGTTACACAATACAGCTAATTCACAGGCTTTCTTTAATAAACCATTTTTCCTTTTATTGAATGTGATCTAAAATAATATTAATTAGTTATTTAAATTATAAAGTGGTTCTTAAAATAATAGAATAAGTAATTAATTTAATAAATTTACATTTCTTATACGATCATCTTTTAGATATTGAATGTCAATTTTATTTCTTCCCATTATATATATTAAATATTTAAATTAATTATATTAATCTTTTATAAATGTCTAATTTTTGGAAAGAAATACAAAACTATTCAGGATGCACAGATTTTGAATAATTACAATATTATCTTAACATTATCTACAAAGTAATAATTCTAAAGAGTTTAGTTTCATTTATTATTAGAAGACTTTCAAACTATCCATCCTGTCTATTTATCAAAATTATTACATTTGCACTAATTAGCAATTAAATATTATGAACATTCCACTGAGGAATTGAATGAGTATGAATTATATATCGAAAAATCTACTTTAGAAGTTTAAGAATAAGTTACTATTCTAATTATTTGTAGATTAGAAAAACAGAAAAAAAACTTTTAGATAGTAAAGTTAATATAAAAGCAGCATAAAAAAAATTATAGTTGGAATTGAATCAAAAAGATAAATTTATGCAGAAAATTATAAATACTTAATTAATTTAATGTATTTATTGTGATAAAGTTGTTACAACCGAATCTTAATTTGATTTACATATGTAATAATATCATAAAAGAGAATTTAATAAAAAAGAAGTTGATATTATCAATAAAGCTTTATAAAATCAATTATTAACTTAATAATTAAGTAATAAAATTATTCAATAAAATCAATAAAATTATTTAGCTTTAAATTATTAATTACTTTAATTCACAAAAGAATAATTATCAAGAGAAACAACAGATTTTCTTTAAAATACTTAAGAAGTTACTGAAAAAATTTAAAATATTGATTAAACTTATATAAAAAAAATAAAAAATTTGGAGGAAGAAATTTAAAATAAATTAAATTTGATTTAACTTAATTCAGAAAAAGAAGAATAAATAAGAGAATAATAAGTGAAAGAAAAAGTAATATAATTGGAAGAGTAAATAAAATAAGAATTTGAAAATTCTAAATCTTAAATGATGAAATCAAGATAATTAACTAAAATGAAAACACATGCTTAGGTATATAAATCTCAAGAAGGTGCATTGAACAACTCTTAATAACCTTAATCTGCTGTCTTTTAATCATTATCTGGTTTTCAAAGAGGATAAACAATGAATATATAAAGTCTTGCTAATATTGAATAAGATGAATTAATTGAAGATGATCAAATTCATAAAACTAGTTTACAGTAATTTCAAATTTAAATTAAACAAAATACAGATTTAGAATCCCCTCTTTAAGGTCAATTTGAATAATCTCAATAATTGTCAGAATCAATTTAAGCAAGTTAAGGATTATTGTTAAAACCACCTGCAGAAATATAGTAATAATCAAAATTTTCAAAATAAATATAAAACAAAAATTTTGGCTCTGAAGAAGAATAATCATTCAATTAAAATTTTAATTAATATGATCAGGATGAAAATATCGATTTTGGAGCTTAAAACTTAGAAACCTATAGAAATGCAATAGATTAATAGTAAAATATGCTTTTTGAATTGTAATTAAATTATTTATTAAGTAATTTAGATTATTAAATAGAAGTAAAGGTTCAAGGCCAACTTATACAAATCTATAAAAATAGCATTATAGTAAAATTTTGGAGAAAAATATTGAATAGGATATAAAAGGAATTACATAGGCTGATCTAAAAAACTTGAAAAAAATATATGATGAATTAAATAAATAACTTAAAGATCAATAAGCAAATGTAGAAGAAAAACTATAATTATACTCATTTAATGAAGAATCTCGCACTCCTGAAGAAGTTGATTCTAGAAGAGCAACATAATACCTTAATATTAGATCAAGAAGAAACAGTAGTAAAAATCCAAAAAATCCATCTTAGATTTGATTTTGAGTGTTCTTTCTAATAATTAGAGTTTATCTAAATTTTAGAGAGATAGATTGTAGTTATAATTTATAATATTTTAGCAATAAAAATTAATAAATAATAATACTAATTTATCCTTAAATTTTTAATTAATATGAACATACTTTATCTGATTACCTATATAATAGCTACATATCACAATATATAATTGAAATCAATCAGAAATAAGCTAAAATAAGAATTTCTATATATTAAATAAACTGTTTAACTTTTTTTTCAATTTTAAATTTAATTATACTAAACATGATGATAAATATAATCAGAGATTTTAGGAATAGAAAAATTCTGATTGTTCTTCCTCCTAAGAACAGCCTTCAAAAAATTAACTAGTGGAATCTACTCTTTACCAACTTATAATTGCCTAAACTTATCCAGTTAATTTTTCATATTTAGCTTCCATTTATTCCCTCTGTTATTATAAATCTAAATAAATTTATTTGTGTTGTTATAATATGATCTCGTGTTAATTAATAATATGAGTGAATTATTATTCATCTTAATTCAAATTTTATTTTATTGAAGTGATCTCGTCTATTAAAAATCTTTAAAAACATTAATGATTTAACTTTTGTTTTTATTATATTTTGTTCTAGCTTCTTTTTAGCAAAACTAATAGATGTCTAATTTAGAAATTAATATTACTCTTTTCCTTTTAAAAAATTTTAATGCCAGAACACTTATTAATTATTCTGATTGCGAATCTTCTAAAAATCATACATATTCAACTGTCTTAAGAAAGAAGTAAAGTGATTATGTTTAAAATGTTAAGGCAATATTTTTTGTTCCAACAATTCAGGATTTAAAACTATAAATGCATCTCCTTATGGTGCCCAAGCAATTATTAGAGAATTGTTCTATCTATATATATTACTCTTTACTAAATCTTCTAAAATTGCATGGAGTTTAATAATGAAAGATGGAATAGTATATTTTGATTTGTTTTTATCCATGGAATATTTGAGGAAATTAGAAATTTATATTAATTATTAAATCTTTGGAGAAGAATTTTTTATATAAATTATTATTTATTCCCCCTTAAAAATAATAACCACACAATTCTTTTTTAATTTCTTTACCTTTTAATAATTTTTAAACACTTATTATTTAATATAAACTTTTTATTATATGATCTAATAATCATTCTCTATATCTTCAATAAAAATAATTATTTTTATGATTAAACCATAAATTTTATTTTTAAATTTATTTTTCTATTCAATTATTTGAGTTTATTTCTAATGTATTCTTAATTGAATTTGTTTTCAATTTGTGAACCATTTCATTAACTCTATTACAATTACATTTATATTGAATCATTCGATTATTGTTTAATTTATATTATATGCTTTATTAATAAAAACATCATGGATTAATTTTTTCGTTATTCTAACAATTTAAAGCAGAATGTCAATATAATAGAATCAATCTCTTCACTTTCAGAATTTGCAATTTTAGGTGATTAAAAGGAATCAGATTTATTTGAGTAATTTTATGAAATCAATAAAATTAGCTTATTTATCGAAGAAAAAATTGTCGAAGAGTTTCTAAGAATATTGAAATCAACAAAGGATACAAATATAGTAAATGCTATCTTACATTAAATTTCAATGCTTATGTATTAATATTATAGAATTAATAGAACAAACATTAATTAAAATATTGTTGTCTTACTGTCTTTACCTTAATTAAACGAATTTATAATCTACAATTATGATCTCAGCAATGAAGAAACTTAGGATTACTATATTAATTTTATTAAAATTCTATCAAATAAGGTAAAAAGAGAAAATATTAATTTATTCTTTAATTAAGTAAGTATTCATAATAGTTTTATTAGAAATATGCATAATTTCCACTTTTATTATATTCCTAGAATTTTTATAATGCCAAGGATAATTTAACTAGAACATATACGAGACATATATTATTTTCAATTCTTTAGATTGTATAAGATAGTTCAAATGAATAAATAATTTTGAAATACCTATAATCTTATCCATTTTTGTAAGTATTGACAAATCATATATCCTTTATGAATGAATTATTATTTAAATGGAGTAAAAATCAAGATTACTTTAATGAAGAGTTAAAGAACATGTATTATTTTTTTAAAGACTTATATAATATAGCACCATATCTAATTGATGTAATTATTTACTTATTTTAAGGCATTAGATAATTTATTTTTCAAAATAATNTTTTTTATATAAATTATTATTTATTCCCCCTTAAAAATAATAACCACACAATTCTTTTTTAATTTCTTTACCTTTTAATAATTTTTAAACACTTATTATTTAATATAAACTTTTTATTATATGATCTAATAATCATTCTCTATATCTTCAATAAAAATAATTATTTTTATGATTAAACCATAAATTTTATTTTTAAATTTATTTTTCTATTCAATTATTTGAGTTTATTTCTAATGTATTCTTAATTGAATTTGTTTTCAATTTGTGAACCATTTCATTAACTCTATTACAATTACATTTATATTGAATCATTCGATTATTGTTTAATTTATATTATATGCTTTATTAATAAAAACATCATGGATTAATTTTTTCGTTATTCTAACAATTTAAAGCAGAATGTCAATATAATAGAATCAATCTCTTCACTTTCAGAATTTGCAATTTTAGGTGATTAAAAGGAATCAGATTTATTTGAGTAATTTTATGAAATCAATAAAATTAGCTTATTTATCGAAGAAAAAATTGTCGAAGAGTTTCTAAGAATATTGAAATCAACAAAGGATACAAATATAGTAAATGCTATCTTACATTAAATTTCAATGCTTATGTATTAATATTATAGAATTAATAGAACAAACATTAATTAAAATATTGTTGTCTTACTGTCTTTACCTTAATTAAACGAATTTATAATCTACAATTATGATCTCAGCAATGAAGAAACTTAGGATTACTATATTAATTTTATTAAAATTCTATCAAATAAGGTAAAAAGAGAAAATATTAATTTATTCTTTAATTAAGTAAGTATTCATAATAGTTTTATTAGAAATATGCATAATTTCCACTTTTATTATATTCCTAGAATTTTTATAATGCCAAGGATAATTTAACTAGAACATATACGAGACATATATTATTTTCAATTCTTTAGATTGTATAAGATAGTTCAAATGAATAAATAATTTTGAAATACCTATAATCTTATCCATTTTTGTAAGTATTGACAAATCATATATCCTTTATGAATGAATTATTATTTAAATGGAGTAAAAATCAAGATTACTTTAATGAAGAGTTAAAGAACATGTATTATTTTTTTAAAGACTTATATAATATAGCACCATATCTAATTGATGTAATTATTTACTTATTTTAAGGCATTAGATAATTTATTTTTCAAAATAATAATATAGCCTATTTATTAAACACTTTAGTAGAAAGATGAAACGATTATAAAATAAAGTAGTCTGATATTATCAAGCTTTTTTAATGCTGAAGTTTTATTTAGTAAGAGATTACTTATTAGCATTCTGATACTCTTATTTTCACCAGAAATTCCAAAATTTCAATCACTATAATTAGAATTAGATTATTTACCAACAAAAGATCCAGAATTAGTAAATTAATGCATGAGATTTTTTTAAAATTCTCAATAAGATCAAGATGTAAAAGATGTGGATACTATTAGTAGTTTATTGTAATCTATCACTCAAACTATATCTTATGTTTCCCTTAATTCAATATTTACTAAGAAAATTCCTAAATAAGATATTTATGAGATTTTATTATCTTTTAATTACATATAAATGTTAAATTCAAGTATTTTATTTTAGGAAAATTAATTAATTCTTGATGAATAAATTTATAATTAGTAAATTCTATCTTATATTTAAATAGTCTTAATGAAGAACATTTTAACTCAATTTTAACAGTATTAGAAACATTGATAACAAAAAAAACTTTATAGTTATTGTCTGAGTTTTAAAAACAAATATTTATACTCTATCTATTTAATATTATGTTTGATGAACAGCCGAATTCACTTAATACCTTAAAGAATTGTTTTAAAATAATTAAAGTTGTGAATTAATTACTTGAAAATTAAGATAAACATTTTATAATTACTTATATTAGACTTAAATTATTAAGGTAAATGGAATAGCATATTCAATCTTAAACTATTTAATACTATAGATATTTTTCATTAATAGTAAAATCTGTTTCAGAAAAAAATTATGAACATTTGTATAAATTCCCTTCTACTCATTTGATTATTAAATTCTTACTTTTATTAGATTTTAGTTTTTAAAAATAATGGTTAAAAAATCCATTTACTTAAACTTATAATCCTCTAACCTATAAAGAATTATAATTTAGTTCGGGTTTAATCAAATTAAATCATTTATAAATCATAACTGAAAATTTAAATTTTCATTTAGATGAATGGAAAATATTTTTATAATAAGAATAAAAATAGATGGTTGTTTTTACGAATTTATTAAATGATGAGAAATTAGAATTTGTTTTTAATGAAGAATATGAAGCAGAAATCTTTAAGTTAGAAGTCAATAAAAGACAATAAGACTCAGAACAACATACCATTTCTTAATTAATACTATAATTATAGTAATTGTACTTTTGATTGTATTCTTCTTTTTCATATTGATTATTTTAACTTTATTTTTTATCTTTAAATTTTACAAAATTAACTTCTATTTAAAATTAGAAGAATCTTTGCTATTTAATAATGAAAACCCATATTTTTATATGAGATTATTTTCTTAATTATAAGTGTCATTAAATTAATCAATTTAATGATGATATCATAACAGTTCTGCTTCTGAATTAAAGACGACATTTCCATTATCTGATTATAATTAATATAAATATTCAATAGGAATACATTTATTATTCTCACATAAATGATTATTTGAGGCATTTGCCTAAAAAAATAAAATTGTTTAATGAAGAAATTATTGCCGCCCCAGTCTGAAAGACTCTGCTGATACGGCTATGTCTGATCAAATAAAATTATATTTATATTCATAATTGATGATTTAGTAGTCCAAGATAAATCATGATTCCAAACTTTCGCTCCTATCTCATAAATTAATAATATTATATATTATGATGACTTATAAGAACTAGAGTCTATGACTTCACATGAATTACAACCTTTAGCTGTCTGATATTAATTATACTCCTACTTATATTATATATTATATATATGTGATGAAAAACTGACACCTCTTGATTGAGCCTATGGGCATTGATCGGAATTCACAATCTGATTTTTAAGACATATCATATATTTCTATGTTTTTGTAGAATATTAGTAATCTTAGAAAGAGATTAAAAATAGTTCAATCTATTTTAATAATAGAGTCCAACTGTATTTCGATAAATTTCATAAAAATATCATAATTTAATTTCTTTACATTTATCAAAGCAATAATTTATTTTAATCAAATAACTAATTTTATAAAGTAATCTGTCTTCTAACTTTGTAAATATAAAATATTAAATAAATTTCATTAAAACAACTATATTATGATCTTTAAAATCTAAAACATGATATTTTAATAACCAATATCTGTCCATA